ATGAAATAAAGAAATGGCGGAAATACCTTGCCGATTTCCGGAAATGAAATGCAGCGGTCCTATTTTTACAGTGGTATATAAAGTACCAAAACAAATAGAAAGATCTTTTTCATATTTTAGTCTGAACTTATTAAAAAAAACGCCTTATATGACTTTAAAGTCTTTAAACGCAGTATAATATAAGGTCCGCCCTCTGTATATAAAGTGAAATTTTTGGACAGGGTTTATTTTCGTAGCTTGAAAACTAGAGAAAAGGACAGGGCGGACCTTAAAACGCAGTTATCAGAAAAGGTCGATCTCTGTATTTCAGATATTTTTATGTTATAAAGGGAAATTTTTGGACAGGGTTTATTTTCGAAGCTTGAAAAACTAGAGAAAAGGACAGGGGGGACCTTAAAACGCAGTTATCAGAAAAGGTCCGCCCTCTATATTTCAGATATTTTTATGTTATAAAGGGAAATTTTTGGACAGGATTTATTTTCGTAGCTTGAAAACTAGAGAAAGAGACAGGGCGGACATTAAAACGCAGTTATCAGAAAAGGTCCGCCCTCTATATTTCAGATATTTTTATGTTATAAAGGGAAATTTTTGGACAGGGTTTATTTTCGTAGCTTGAAAACTAGAGAAAGAACTGGGCGGACCTTAAAACGCAGTTATCAGAAAAGGTCCGCCCTCTGTATTCCAGATATTTTTATGTTATAAAGGGAAATTTTTGGACAGGGTTTATTTTCGTAGCTTGAAAACTAGAGAAAAGGACAGGGCGGACCTTAAAACGCAGTTATCAGAAAAGGTCGATCTCTGTATTTCAGATATTTTTATGTTATAAAGGGAAATTTTTGGACAGGGTTTATTTTCGAAGCTTGAAAAACTAGAGAAAAGGACAGGGGGGACCTTAAAACGCAGTTATCAGAAAAGGTCCGCCCTCTATATTTCAGATATTTTTATGTTATAAAGGGAAATTTTTGGACAGGGTTTATTTTCGTAGCTTGAAAACTAGAGAAAGAGACAGGGCGGACCTTAAAACGCAGTTATCAGAAAAGGTCCGCCCTCTGTATTCCAGATATTTTTATGTTATAAAGGGAAATTTTTGGACAGGGTTTATTTTCGTAGCTTGAAAACTAGTGAAAAGGACAGGGCGGACCTTAAAACGCAGTTATCAGAAAAGGTCGATCTCTGTATTTCAGATATTTTTATGTTATAAAGGGAAATTTTTGGACAGGGTTTATTTTCGAAGCTTGAAAAACTAGAGAAAAGGACAGGGGGGACCTTAAAACGCAGTTATCAGAAAAGGTCGATCTCTGTATTTCAGATATTTTTATGTTATAAAGGGAAATTTTTGGACAGGGTTTATTTTCGGAGCTTGAAAACTAGAGATTAGAACTTTTTAGTGTGCAGTGTTTAGAACTTCCTTAATTAATATTTGATGTACCAGTCTAATCGTGTGCAAATTTCCTACTTAATTTTACACAAGTTTTATAAATGTATTATATGTCTTTTGCCATTCACACAAGTTTTTACAAAGTTAGGCTCATAGTAAACAAAAACTCTGAAATGAATGACCGTTCTCGATTTACTATTAATAGAAAATCACAAATGTCGGCTACCCCTACCACATTGTATGGTTTTGTTCTTTATATATTCGTGAATTTCAGCGTAAAAAATTCTTGAATCGTATGGTTTAGATATCAATTAATGATTGATCAATGAATGATTTGAGATGAAAAATTTGCTAACTTTGTTTATTTTTTCACATTTTACCAGGGCCCATAAGTGCATTCGTTCTTTTCTGAAATTGTGTGTCTTTAAACTCAGCTTTTTATATGTACAATATCGGTATACTTTAAAACTTTAAACTTTTTTGACAGGTATCTGCGTGATTTTACTACACTCCAATACACCCCCCCCCCCAAAAAAAAAAACATTTAGAAGGGGGGTATAAAATGTTTGGATTTTTATTGAAACCGAGAGACATAAATATAAATAACATATCATAAATGTAGTGAACAGAGATTTTATATGAGCGACATATATATTAAATATGAAAAATAAAGGCATTTATAAATCCAGCAATTTATCGACTTAATTTGGTTTGATTTCGCCAATTAATGCACATTTACCTTGTCCTGGAGTAATATTTAGTAGGCCGCATTTCATTTCCGGAATTTTCTGAACTTTTCATTTCCGACATTTTTAAGTTTTTACATTTTAATAGTTTTCATCTCCGACATTTGTCAAATTCATGTCAGTACTTTTTCGTCAATGAAAAAAGAATTCATACATCCGTTATAAAAAGCCTTACGGTAAAATATTTTAGATAATTTATTCAAATAAAAGACTTTGCTCTTAGCTGTCAAAGAAACTTAATTGATTTTAACCTGGAACAGATCTAGGAACATGTATTGTGAATGTGAAGTTACTTATTGACTAGTCTTAATATTTACTTATTGACTAGTCTTAATATTGTTTACAGAGTGTATGTAATGATAAGAAAAAACGTGATTTGAAAAAAGTAATATTATACAATGCACGTATAAAATACCCTGTTAAAATTCTATTTCCATCTTTGTGATATACATATATTAAACTTAAATTGCCATAAAGGTATCCTAAAAACAATCCGAAAATGTGAAAAAAAAATAATAAAATAATGTCGGAAATGAAAATAGAATTGTCGGATTCCGAAATCATAACAAAAATTGTCAGAAAATGCAATGTTAAATTCAGGAAATGAAATGCAGAGTTCTAGTAGATATAATAATTAGCCTTTGAATAAGTAAGAAACAGTGTTAACTTATAAAAACACAGGGGATATGGTACTTTAGGTTTTCTCAAACGAAACAATTATAGGTTAACCCCCAACTGCCCAATCCGTAGGCATGTTGTTTTTACAATAAGGGGTGTAGGGTAGTACACCGTGACATAAGCCCTTGTCACAGCTAGTGACCCTCCAGTTATTTACAACAATATTAAACGTAAAGAATGACAGATTTCTTTTATTAATACAATATAAAGAAATATATTTTGAAAGATGTGAACTTTAGTTTTTGTGAGTGGATTAGTCAAACGTTTATCATGTTTATAGGAAAGAGAGTGTAACTAAATGATTCGTGTTGGACTTACGAACATTTATCTGTTCATTCAATACTGATTAATCTGCCAGTAAAGTTACAAGGCGGTGAAGGTAAATGTATGTACATTTGTTTTCTTAATATTTTTTTAATGATAATGTTGACATTAGCGTATTAATTTAAACGACAAAAGAAGCATGTCCCATCTTCCCAACAGGAAACCCGATCAATAAATCTATACATTCCTTTATTTATGTATTAATTTCGATTTCTTACTTATTGTTTACTGCATTTTCTTGGAGAAAACACTTGCTATTAATACGACTATATATCCTTAATTAATTTTAAAAGAATAGTTTTTCAATTAATATCGAATGAACCACATGCATACAATTCGTATAAAAGGCCGAGGGCGGACCTTTTCTTATAGAGCCAGGCGGACCAAATATGTTATCGTATTAGGTCCGGCCGGACCTTTAAACGAGGCGGACCAAATATTATGCGACACCGGACGGTGTTGACAGAGGAACTTGCGAAAATCTTACTAAATCGAGCGATCGTACATGTAATCTTTCAAAAGCTTTTCTGCATCTTGCAATGGCTTCTCGATTAATACAAGTGCCAATTTAGAGAGAATGTTCTATCGTTAAAATGATAAATGTCCTACGGACCCGGTTTAATGATAGAATTTGTTCCGTATATTCACTATGTAGCAAAATAAACACGGGCAATAACTCGAACTCAGTACATTAAATTTACTACGAAGATTCCAGAGAGTTCCGAATGCAAACATGGCGTGTAAATTTGAAGCGAGAAAAAACGTAAAGAAAATTAGTTGAATTATCGTCTTTATTTAGATCAATTTTTAGGTTTAAAGGCATACGCGACCTAAAAAAGGTTTGTTGTAATTAATTTTGAAGTTATTTCCAGTGCAAATCCTTTTGTATACTTCAAATGCGTTTTGGAGCGATTCTGCAATTATTTATTTCCGAGATACAGATAATTCTAACTAGTGCCAAACTATTACCGTAACTATGATTGGTAAACTGTTAAAACAAGTTTGTTGACGGCGCTAGGGTAAGAAGTGTGTATTGTTTATAGACGCCGTGTTTATTGATATTAAAATTAAAATACAATTTTCATGTTTTTATTGAATTTATTTTGGACTGGTAGAAATCTGTCTGGACTGACAAACTATACATGGCAGTCGGTCCAAATGACTGACAGTGAAAAAAAGATTTCAAGAACTCTGAATAAGTCAATGAAATTTGACATTTATATCTAACCTGGCTCTTTTGAAAATCACGGTTTAAGTAGTTCATTGATGAAAAATTTTCTCTCCTTGTAAACAACTAAAGGGTGGTAACTTTTGGAATTTCCTGTCCAAAAGCCACTCGAACGATTTTGTCCAAAATGTGCATACATGCAGTAGATATAGTCATGTACTAAATATACAAAAATAACGAAAATTAAACGACAGGAATTTTTTGGGGTGGGTGTGTTGTACATCCTTAAATGGACTTAAAACTAAATACTGTACTGTTCGTTACCACCATATTTTTCGCTAGTTTAAAGAGGAGGATCCATGTATATATATATATATTGTTCTGATCAATTACTTTTTCTTCGGGTAGAACTAATGCTTAATAAAGTACATGTACACCACTTTCAAGAGAAGTTTAAATAAAATGAGTGATGTTTTATAATGGTTTAACTCCTGAGGTTTCTGCCAGACGGAAATTATTTTCCATATCCCAATAGGAGAACAAGAACAAAACATCTTAAATTTACACGAACCGATCCTTTATAAAACTCTATTCGTTATGTATTATAATTCATTTTTATTTGTTTTAAATAACCCCCTAAAATATTCCACATTTATTAATGAATGAAAAAAACATTGATTTAATTAGATATGTGTAAGTGCTTTTTTTACTGAATAGATTCGTCCACTCTTTTCTTTTCATTCTCGTAATAGAACCAGGTAAAAATACATTCGGGATAAACTTCAACTTCTTCATACCCAAGTTGTTTATGCAATATAATTGACTTTGTATTTCCTGTCTCAATAGCCGAGTACACAAAGTCATCTTTCCTCAGAATTTTCTCCGAGAGAAGGGAAACAACAGCACTTCCGAGTTTCCTCCTCCGATACTCTGGTAATACGTGAATCATCCCGATAGCTCCGTAATGTTGTTCAAAACCCCAGGCCACTGGTTCTCCTGATTCGTTGAGGATGCACACGGATTCAAAAGTGGTGGCTGTATGTGTGAAGAATTCTTTGGCGTCACAATAACTACCTGTGTACTGCCATTGGCTTAGAATCAAGTCCATGTATTCTCTCTTGATGGTTGTGGCGATAAACGGTGAGGGAACTTCACTATCAACATTGCCAGGGGAGAAAAAAAAGGAACGAATATTAGAAGACTGAAAAGGAAATTTTTACTATGAATTCGGTCAATATTTGAAATGGAACCCAGAAGAAACATTTTCTTTTAACTTACATTTTCTTTAAGGTGTGTTTGGAAACTCTAAATGTATCAAAACCTCCAGCCCATGACGGTTTGGTATCTTGTATTTTCTTAGATCCATCTAATTATTAGTACATTCAAACATGTACAATTTGATTGCATGTGAAAAAAGTGTTATTATTAAAAACATCTTGAAAACAATAATTGTAATCATAATAATCATCATTGATTTTTCAAAATAATAATATCTGTGCAATAGATGATGAGAACGTCTCTATATTTATTCAGATTTGCTATTTTGCATAAGAGGCTCAAATAAAATGCATAAATCAGGGCAATTCACATGAAACGTTCACAGAAAGAAACATCCAAAACTGGAACATTTTTTGACGAAGAAATTCCATGTTTAATGGTTTAACACAACTTACAGCACTTTAATGTAGAAACTGTGGCGCTGTGAGCATCTTCATCTCCTGACATAGATAATATTTCCTTCATCCGCCTTGGCCCCCCTACCATGTTTCGCAAATTGCAAATATTCGAAAGTTATTTACTACAGTATTATATAATAATATAAAAGTATTATGATATTATAAAAAAAGGAAATATAATGATAGTCGAGCATACAGTTATAAGAATGATGATACCAAAAAGGAGTATGCTGGATGTTGATTTCTGAAGGCGCTGAGAAATCATCTGATTTAGAACAACACAGAACTCCTCTCGTCTACAGTAACCGTACACTCGGTGTGGGGATAGGTCTTCAGGCTTTAATATATCACATTTATTACTATAAATATTATACCGGTAAGAGAGAAAGAGAGAGAGAGAGAGAGAGAGAGAGAGAGCAAAAACATAGTAATTACATCCTCCTTCAGTAAATTCTGCAAATTTTGGAACTTCCCAGAGCCAGAAGAGAATGTGTGTAGTATATTTTTGCTTTTGTTCAGCGTACATTGCTTTTTATTTTGATTCATCGCGATTTTATCCTGTAATGATACATGCAACGTACCAGGTTCTCCACCTCTAAAATGCAATTAAACTGTGGCCATTCATCGACGAGGACGAACTTGAATTTTTTGAACAGATTCTTTTGGGATAGCATCAATGGATAATAAGCCTAAATGGATAAAAAATGAAATTAAAATTGCTGAATCCTATACAAAAAAATCATAATTGCCGAAACTTAAATTATAATCCAAAATAATATTGTATTAATGATTGCTATTTTTTATAATACGATACTTAATTTCACATTGTATATATTATTGAAATATTTTTAATAAACTACCAGTATACAAAAATGTATTGTAGAAACCAATGCACCACCAATTGAAATCAACTTTATTCCCATCAGTATGGATGGACAACAAAAATTCTTCATTTATAAATATTTCCATTTCTATTTTTTTCTGTGATAACTCTTTGAAAGTTAGCGGAGTTGATTTCTTAAATAATTCCGGTAAGTGTTTACCATTAGTGAGGCTGGCAGCTGTTTTTTCAGTTCCTCCAGTAGAGTGGGGTACTCCTCCTCGGGCAGAATTACGTATGGATCCATGTTGAAACTCCTAAACCTCTTGTCAAAAACATTAAGTTTCGTTTCAACATATATTATTTTTTACAAAATTTGAGATACGGATTATAAAAAAAAAAACAATTTCATTTTCTGCAACATTTTAGGGAAAACCATACAAAACCCAAAATACGAGTTAAATGTGCTTTATTTACTGCAACTATTGAAATCATATAAAAAGATACGGAAAGGTATGTAATGGTTATAAATATATCCTTACAAAATATTCGTATAAAGTAAGAGATGTAAAATTTTATTCTAATCCATATGCATATATAAAAAGGAAAATGAAACATTTGACATCAGATGGGGTGAATTTCGTTCGAGCAGATTATTCAAGATCTTTCATTTTTCTTTCATACTAACTGATGGCTCTAATTTAACTTATTAAGTTGATTGTGTTAATTTACTGATTAGTAAACAATAGTTTTGAATAAAAAGGAGAAAAATATGAAATCGTCATTCGTTTTTTGAGGTGATTATGTGCTTTGGTTCCTTCAAACTCCATCAAATAGATTTTAACGAAATTGGAAACTGATGGTTTTCCACATAAAACAAAAATGTTCTGACACGTATACCAACAACAATGAAAAGTGTTGACAGATTGCCGATCTTTTAATTCAAAATATACTAGTAAATCAATTTAGAAAGACTCTGTTTAATGAATAGTTTTGAGTTCAGGATAATAATTCCTAGATTGTTAAATCAACTGGCCTGGGGGCCACCTCATTATTTTGAACACTTAAATTATTGGGATATTTCTTTCATATCTCTAGAGAACGCATATTCCGTGAAAAACTGGAAAATATACTCACTTTTAATGTTTTTACCTTGCATACCTTTGGTAATCCTATTTTTCTTGTTTAGGAAAATAAGTTTACTTACATTTTAGCTTTATCTTTGTACGGGTGTACATTCATGTCACAAAAGGAATAGTTCTGAACTTTTGTCATTTTTCTCATTTATTGAAATATTGCATGCAATTGAGATAATTTTTTTTTTAAATCTCACACAACCCTCCCGAAAACAAAAACATGACCAAGGTCGATGTAAAAATAATATTTGTTTGTCCCCTCCTAGCTTAGGATGAGACATTGGGTCGGTAGGTAAATTAGAATTTTTTTCACAGAAATTTTATGCTTAATTTTCAATTCTAATGTCTAATATGAATTCCTAACTGGAGGTGAAAAAAGAACGTTTTGACCCGGGCAATTTTTAGCCAGTCGCTCGGGAGAGGTCGGGAGAGGGCAACCAAACAATTTTTTTTAAGATGACACAATCGAAAAATAGCCTATGCTGACAATGCTGGGTATAAATTTTCAAAATTTGGCAGTGTTTATTTCACTAATATTTCATAGATTACACGCAAACAACGTTTTTAGAATATTACCAATTCACAAAGTGTACATGTACTGGTGACGATTTCAAGGACAATACAGACTATGGAATTATTGGTAGTAGTATGGCAAACATATCTATATAATCTCTTAACATTTTCGTATAATCTCTTATCATTTTTAGATTTTGAATCAGTTTATTTTGCTTTGACTATAATTATATTAGAATCCTCTTATTTTGTTCGCACTATCCTTGGAGCTAAAATGGCCTCTAAATCAGCATGTGTGTTACAGTTATTTTTAGAATGCAAGTGAAACCTAAAATGGTTTACAAACAGAATTGTAAATCTGGATTTGTTTTATGTTATATTTATATGCGTGTACATTCTGTTTGGAAGACATGGAAACCGGTTATATTTATATAGTTAGGCTGCCAGCGATAGGTTTTATCGTTTCAAATCCCCAAATTGAAGATGAAATGGTTGTATCACGAGACTTGAGACTTACGCTTCTTATATATTCTGAAAAAATGGCCATAAATTCTCGTATAAAATTATTAAAAAGGGGGAGGGATATAAAATGATATCTTTATTGTTCTTAACGATTCAGAAGTGACATAAAGAAATATCTAAAATTAAAAATATTGACCACTTTGCAGGAAGCAATATATAGAAGTGGGTTTGTAAGACTAATTATTACCATTACTAGGTGAACTTGCCTTAACTCTTCAACTGGAGATCCTACTCATACTCATACCTATACTTTATCCTCTCTAATTAAGACAGAGATTCTCCAAAATCACATGTCAAAGATTCCAATATTCCTCACAAGCAAATTAATTTTGGATTACCTTACATTGGAATCATAAACTTCATATAATCCTTACAATCAAAGGTACATAGCGAGATCAATCAAAGTTCTAACAATCCTCTTTCTTAACTCCTAACAAAAATACTAAAAGCAGTGAAGGAGAACTTCAGTAGTTCTGTGAAATGACATATTCGCGAATAATTTTATTTAGACCTTGATAATTAAAAAACTGTGATTAGGTACCATGATGAAGTGGGCACCCTTCCGACCACGCACACGCACAGTGTTATTTTTGTTATGATTGGGAAATGACGGGAAAATCTGAAGAAAATTTCAGATGGCCAAACAATAACTGCAAAAAATGTTCATGAACAGTTGACTTGATGCTACACTGTACTTGCTAACAAAGTCATTGTATTAACCATAGAATTTGCGAAGACTGTTGAATTTTATGTCGCAACTATGTTTATATATCTTATTTTATGTTATGAAACTCATAGGTCAGTTTTGAATATTTTTAATATCCCAAAGAGCCAAAATGAATTTAAACTACCATATATATACATGTATAATGGATTCCAAAATTTCATAAGAATCCTTACAAAGATACAAAGCGGGATCCAATAAATGTTCAACAAAGCCTATTTCTTTACGCCTCACTAAAATATTAATGTTAACAGTAGTGAAGGAGAAACTTCAAGAGTACTGTGCAACATGAAGTGGTGAAAATCAGAAGTGGATACTCAAAAATTCCAAGGGACTTTTGGACAATTTGAAATCACAACATTTTATCAAAATCAACAGCTTAAAATCTGCGACTTTTCAACTTTATACACAACCATTCCCTACGATAAATTAAAGTCCAGGCTTTTTGATATCACGGCAGGTGTTTTTCTAATAAAAATGGAAATCGTTAATTAACTTAACTTGCCATTGGTCATTTGCAAAATTGTTTTATAAAAAAACATTCTGATTGTACACACAGGTACTCTGAAGTTGACATCAAAAAGATGCTTTAGTTTCTGAGTGACAATATTTTATATTGTTTTTGGAGACCAGGTCTTCCAACAATCTATGGAATTCCCATGGGTATCAATAGCGCCCCGTTATTAGCAGACCTATTTTGTTATTCAGATGTAGCAGAATTTGTGCAAAATCTTATGCGTGAAAAGAAGAAAACACTTAATGTTGCCCTCAACTCGACATTTACATATATCGACGACGTGTTATCAATTAACAATTCTAATTTCCATTCTTTTGTCGATACAATATCCTGTTGAGCTTGAGATAAAAGATACCACAGAGTCTGACACATTTGTTTCATATTTGGATATTTTACTTGAAAAAGGCGTTAGTGGTAATTTTACAACCAAGTTCTATGATAAACATGATGGCTTTAACTTTTCAGTCGTCAACTTCCTTGATTTATGCAGCAATATAACTTCATCACCTGCATACGGATATGATATGTCTCAGTTGATTCGATAAACAAGAGCATGCTCTACGTATGAACAATTTCTAAAACGAAGTAAATTATTGACAAACAAATTGATGAAACAAGAATATCAGCAGTTTCGATTAAAGTCATCATTTGGTTAGTTCTGTGGTCGATACAATGACCTTGTTGGCAAATACTATTCATCTTTATCATTGAGGCAAATGCTGACTGACGTTTTTCATACTCATTTTTAGTCCATTATTTATACATTGAATCGACGACGGATTTCTTCGTTATTTCCCGATGATGACAAGGAGCACATGGCGAATGTGACCGGTCAGCAAGAATTGCTCACTCCTCCATGGCACCTGGCCCCACTTCTGATGTTTTGGAGGTCTATGTTTGCTCTGCTCCTATTGTGTATTGTTTTATGGACTTTTGATCTTGAATACCGTTTGTTATCTTCATATATTATACTTTCATGTAAATTACTTGAATCTGATTCGTCGAGAAACATTTGATAAAAAACACTACTACCCGCTGAATAAAGAAGCCACGCCCTCCTGCGTAGCAACAGTCAACATTGCTTGACGACGGGTGGTATTACAAAAAATAGCGACTGCGCGGAATTTATGCGCGCACGGTTCACTGTAACATGTTTTTGTATAAAACATTCAGTATAATATAATAAATATTGCATGTATTGAGTGTAACATTGAAAATTTTACCGCTGAAAACCAATTTGTCAACCTCGGCTGCGCCTCGGTTGACAATGGTTTTGTTTGGGTGAAAATGTTCAATGTTACACTCAACTACATGCAATATTTATATAATGTTTCATTGCAACTAGTTTGTCAGTACTTACGTCATTTGTACGCAGACAGAGCATGCTCTCACATATCGAATCATATGAGAGATATAAACCTCAGAAACAGGTATTAAGGTATATTGCTGCACATGTAAGGGAAGTAAACGATTGAAAGGTTACGTCATCGTCTTTATCATTAGGTTCCCATTAATGTCTTTTTCTAGAAAAATATCCATACATTAAACATATGTGTCGCATCTTTTATTTCAAGCTCACTTGAATATATCGTGTAGGCATATAAATGAAAATAACATATTCATTGATTACTCGCCGTAATATATAGTAAGAATAAAACTCGCATTCCTCAACCTTGTCATTTGTCACCTGCATACTTTGTTAAAAATGATTTGAATTAATTATAACACACCAGTACTTTAAAGTAGATAAAAAGGTAAGAGTTTCTCATTGATAATACTCATGTAGTCTTTGGAAATCAGCTTTTCTGGCAATCTGTTAGCCAACGGATGCCGGTTGTTCCCTATTAGTTAATGAAAAAACGTAATACGAGGGTTGATCCAAAAGTAATGTCACAACTTTGATAAAATTGCTACAAATCAACGTAAAGCAACAAAATTATACATGATGGAAGTTTTATTTATTTCAAATCAGAAAATTGATTAACATATGGTGTATAATCATAAAGATTAGGAAAAGTATTATACTAAATTACTATTTATAGAGTTATACGTCGTCACGAAAAGCGGTCATTGCTTTATGATTCATGAGACCAAAGTAGAAACGGCAAGGTTATGAAATTATCTCCTCTCTCTCCATTTATTAATATATATGACGATTTGTTGTTATATATCAATAGCTGATATTTGTTCGACTTTTTTTTCTGTAACAAAGTAATATGAATTTTAAATCTCATCTATCTTACTTGTATAAACACAGGCAATAAATGTGTTTTAGCGCATTTTCCATCCTCAAGGACTTATTGTGCGTCAGAATAAACAGAAAAAGAGAATAAATACAGAACTCACCTGATAATCATCCACGTATTTCAAAATAAGACAAGAATCTTTGAATGACACAACTATTTTTTAGCTCAAGAAGGAATTAATGTTATTTACTATGAACTTATTTTTGTCATAGTGTGCCTTAAAATGCTTACTGACAGTCTTATTTTCACTGTGATCTTGCAAATTGACTTTGTTGTTGCACATCTTAGCCACAAAATTCTATGCAAGTACGTTACTTATAACAAAACCAGTTCAGAGGATACTAGCTAGCGTTCTTTTTCAAGATGTTCTCATTCCATTTAGCGCCTAAAACATGTACAAGCTGTTTAATATCCAATCTATATTTTTGATTCCATATTTGCAAGTCGTTTTCTATTTTCACCCTCTGCAGTGGCTTAAAATTTTTCAAAACAAAAGCATATTCAACCCTAGGAACCTGCATGATTCCTAAGGCATGGTAATAACTGTAGATTTCAGTGATAAATGTATAACCATTGACTGGTCAAGCCCTCTGGATACGCCCCTTTATCCATCATTTTCATTAATCCGATCTTCTACAAGTCTCATTAGATTCAGGAAGGGACTAGTGCATGGAACATGAAATCTTCAGTCCTTAAAGCTTTCTTTCTTTTCGCCTCCCTAGCAGCTACAGTGGTAAGTCAAATATTCCAATAATAAGTATACCAGTGTTAGTTACGTAAACATTAAGTTTATTTAAAAAAAAAAAAATATTGTGTTGTTAAAGGTTTATTTGTCAATAACGCAAGTCCTGCAGATAGATCTGAAAATTATAAATTGATATATGGCTTGAATTTCACAAAATTATCGGAGATTTTTTTTAAAATTTATCTTAAAATACTTTTTTAAAAAGATATATCGGTATATAAAGACAATCATAAGATATGCAATTACAGTTTTACAAAACTTTCTTGAGATTTCCCCATACAAAAAATGCTTACTTGAAGATACCTGCTTTTATTTTTTTTTTTAAAATAAAAGTGATTTGTAAAATAATATTTGTAGCAGTGTAAATCTCAAAATAAATAATCGCACCAACTGCAGAGGGGGAGAGGGTATAAATGCTAAAATGTCTATGGTCTGAATAAGTTTGAATTTTGAAGCTGTTTATGAGAATTGAGCCATAGATTAACATTCCATAAATGTCTTTGTTAAGAAATGAAAAGTTTACATTTTATTGAAAATAAACATTCTTTATGCTATATGCAACACTGAACACATCAATAGTAGGTGTTGTTGATAATGAAATTCTTTCTGACGAAGAAATGGTTGCTGCAACTATTTGAAGAGGCTTTTTCGTATGATCATATCATTTTGAGAACGCAAAGAATGCATATCATTTTCTAGAAAACACATCTTTTAAACTGATTCTCTGTACGACCAATTTCTAAAATCAGGGAAGCTCCTACTATTAACAAACAAGTCGGTGACACAAGAATTTCAACAGACTCGCTCAAAGTAAAAATGAACATTCCGCAAGATAAATGGACGACGTAATGACCTTGTCAGCAAATACAGTCTAACGTTAAGTCGAATGCTGACTGACTTTTTCTGCTAATTTGGCGGTTATGACTGATTGACAGGAGATGTTTTCGCCTTCATCTCACCTGATCAAACCTCCGATTTTTTAGAGTTCCCTGTGTGTTCTGCTTCCTAAGTGTATTGTTTTAATGGACATTTGAGTTTGATTTTAGTTTGTTATCTCTATTTTTATGTAATATTATAATTAACACAAAGATCTTTTAAAAGCAGATACAGAACAATGATAGTGCTGCGCCATCCAAACTTTAAATTCACCAAAAATTAAGAAAATTACAATATGATATAAATAAATTAAACACATTTTGTCACAGATGTGTCCTGGTCGAAAATTTCGCTCCGAAGAAATCTTGGAAGATGAATTAAAAAGAACAAAAGAACGAGACATATTTCCATTCTCTGTGGACGTATATCTAATTAAATGAAATGAGATACTGAGTATATGAAATAGCTTTCATGAAGAACAAAGTAGTAGCCCAAAGTCATTTGCAGGGGATAAAATTTCAAATAATCCAGAATAGAACTAGGTTCATTCTCTTATTTTTTTTATATGGATCATTAAGTAATTTGTTGGTAATATTGTCACCTTTATTGTTTTTTGCATTTCTACCCGTTGATGTTTTACTTAAAATTAATGTCTCTGTACGTTTGATTTTATAAAAAAAAACATTATTCAATACATAAAAACCGAACAAAAAAAATATATTAACAAACTGCTTACACAGACCAGAGTTTTACAGAAGCAATTTATTTAAAGTTTCTTTTATTATAAGGTATGCCAGGAAGAATTGGATAACAGTTACACACAACAGGATGAAGCTAACAGAGTTTTCACCAGTAAGCGAATTCTGGACATTTTGCGGCCTCAGGGGCATATTAAACTTCCTTATCCCAGATCCCTGGCCAAAGATTCATTTGATTTTGAACCATGGGGCTCAATACAATCTCTAGGTTCACCAAAAAATGAAGAGGAGGAATCAAATTTATCGCATATCTTAGCTTATCTCATTGCCTTTAATTTTTTGAGGAATGACAGAGAAAACGTAAGACCCTTCGCATACCACAAAACAAAAAGAAATATTGGAAGATGGAGAAACATGAACTGGAAATTCTCTGACCGTGATGGAAATCCGACAGTGTATAACTTTCCCAAGTAGAGGAGAAAAGGACATCTTACTGGTGGATGTCAATGACTTGGTGAGACAAATTAGTGGGAACAGAATAAGCATCACAATTGTGTCAGAGGGATAAATTTCCTTCTAAAATGTTGTGTACATAATTAATAATAAGAAACTAAACGAATGAGTAACAGTATTTATTGTAATCAATAATATACATGTAGGTACTTTGTGATTAAAATGCATCCTTCAATGCTTCATTTCCAATCATTAATTAGTTTTAATCCTGAAAAAAGTTGCATCTTACTTAATTTCATTATTCTTAAAATTTCCATCAAATAATTAATTAATTTAATAGGGTTAAAAATGGTGTTTCCCAAACGAAAGGAAATTTATAAATAAAAAAGGTGGTCCTTAGTGTTTAACTGAATGAAGTTCATCTCCCATTCTGTGGTAGTTGTTCTTGCTTTTGCTTCTTAGGACATATGCAATCATAATGGTTGTAAAAAGAACGCAGAAAAGAGTAGCCGCAATGGAACATCCGACGATGAAGTAAAGATGACTTTCAGAAATATCTCCATTATCAACCGTCTCTTCTGTTGACTGAAGATCCTCATTGCTCAGCATGTCTTTGAGAGGGGGTACTTTTCTATCTGTGTTCGGTGTTGGATGTTTTGATGCTAGCAGGGATTCCATATTAAGATTTGAACCATCGTTTACAATCCATCCAGAGACAGTTCCGTTGAATCCGTTAAAATCGGGGTCCACACTGTAAAGCTGGGTCCATTGCTGTCCGTCATCGCTGACCAAAAAGTCGGAAGTTGCATTCGTTTCCAATGGTTGTTTCATGAAAGGAGGACTTTGAACTGAAATGTAAGGACTGGCGGGTATTTTGATTGGTCTTGTGCAGTACATCAAATCACAATCGTCTTGTGTTGTGGCAAGGTGCTGGCTGTAACCAGGGGGACAGGATTTGACAGCATTGACGGTTGTATCTAGTCCTCCTGTGAGTGGATTGCCACTCTGACAGCTAAAGAATCCAGCAAATGGCATGGCATATTTTTCTCCGTTTTCAAAATCATTTGTCACGCAAATATAGAGTTCCTTCGCTGTTTTAATGGGATTAAAATATGGCGGACAAGTTTTCTGCTGAGTTACTGAATTGGCAATTGTGTCAGAGAATACGCCTCCAAATAGGAAACCAGTTGGGATGGCAAATTGCCCTTTTGCTGCGCACCAGTAAGATGTAAACGTTGCCAATCCACTGACAGATTCTTCTTGGCATTTTGACCAAAAGACCATATACTTGGAACATACTTTTTTCGACTGAGTAAATGCTTGCTTATCAGTAAAAAGTGGTATTATGTCAAATCCTTCAGGGCATGTGAAGTCACCAGTCAATGGGTTTTTGCTTTCAAAATTTTGGCAAGTATTTGGAATATTTCCCGATTCATTGCATTGTTGGAACATACCTCCAAACACAAGTCCTGAAATGTTGTGGGAGCAGGATCCATCATCGACGTTGGCATAATAATTGAAGTTGTCCGAATCACGATCTGTGCAGCCTTTGTGTGTATTGTATTTGTAGTAGGCCTTGATTGCTTGATCAACGTGGGAGGCTAGTTCATATACTGTCGAAACGGGAATATTGGGAAAAAGTTTTGGTTGAATGAGAAAATGCAATGGATCTCCAGCTCGATCTACGGCTACCAGTTCATCTTGGATTCCATCCACCCAGTCATTGATACTGAAATTTACAGGTTTGTAAATGGGTCCTCCATAAGTGTTTACAGATGAATGAGTCAGAGAACTGTAATACTTCTGAAGTGTTTCAGGATTCACATTTGCTGTTCCACTACCGTGGAAAAGATCGGAACTTGCGATTAGCGATAGCTGATAACGATCAACAGAAGCGTCTTGCATTAAACTTCTATTTATGTGGTCGATCTTTACGATGGATGCCCCAGCATCTATACTTGTAACAACATGAGTTCCAAAATCCCTTACTAAGAGCTGACTTTCATATTTGGCGGAGGCGGTTCGGTTAAATTGTATGTGTTGAGCAATACTTGTAACGCGATCCATAAAAGTGGGATCAAGTGACGTCACAGGCTGAAGTCTTGCTGAGTATCTAGCATACCTTGCTTTAACTTTCATCGTTACGGAATCGTCGTTTATTTGATGGCCCTTTACTCCCTGAAATTCTAAGGAGAACTTCCCGTTGATTGGAAGGTCATCAATAGTGATTGAACCATCTAAATTGATACTCGCGGACGTATCTGATGTAAAATTGTTCCAGTTTTCAATGAGTTGGGAGTAGAGTTCAACTTGACTAGACTTCAAAGGAATTGCAAAAACCCCATCTGGTAGCAGATATCGACCATCTTCAGTGATTTGACAAGTACTGTAGTTGCGAAGGACAACTCGACCTCTCACTTCATTTCGGAGATTATCCCATCCATTTCCGGGCAAAACTTCATATCCAAAAATCGATGTATTTGTATACTTGCAGTTAGAGACATTCCCTTTGATCTCAATAAAAAAACATGACAACAAAATTATAGCAATCATACGATAAGGCTTCCCAGTCTCCATCCTTCTTCGTGTACACTGACTAAAATCGAAATGAATCCTGGGTGGAAACTATCACAATTGCTACTTACTGATAAAGCTGTTTACAAACAAGGTCCATAACTTGATAACTAATTCAAACATGTCATTTCTATACACCACAAAATTTGTGGAGAAAAAAGATAACTCCTTTTGTTGTGTTTTTATAACTGAACATTGAACTTTTACGAATATTTCTTTTATTACAGTTTTCTCATTTTGCTCTTGGTATAATAGAAAACAACCAGAAAAAGAAAATGAACAGCTTATCGGTTATCAACACTTTCAATAGGTGAAAATACCCGTATCAGTTTTAGATAACATTCATCAATGATAAATGCAAATATGTTATATATCATATTTGTAAACATTGTTGATAAGTACACTGTATCTTAAAAACATTGGACCTTAATTTCAGTATAGTTGCCAATCAACAAACATGACAGGAAAACTTCTCTGGGCATGTTATATTGTGACTGTTTCCATTATAATTCCTGCACGGTGTTTGCCTTCTGCATTCCATTGTCGGATATCTAATCCAGACGTTCTGACGCTTGAAGTTCTTCCTGGTGGAGGCTGGGACAATTTGAAGAATGAAGATCGAGCGAGGATTGTTGTCTACAACTACACAAACTGTAAGGTCACTGAAGATGGACATTACCTTATTCCGGAAAACGTCTTCGTTGTTCCAAGTAAAGCAAGTCAGGTTAAGATCTATTCCGAAAGAATTGATCATTGGATGAATTTCACTTCATCTACATCAAAATCCATAAACGTTGGTGGGCAAGCCAAAATCGCAGGATTGTTCTCAATTGGTGGAAAATATTCTTCAGAATATGATGATGTTAAAAATAACCAGGTCAACGATAACTCATTTACACAGCGAACAGGAGCCCAATACAGACGATACATATCTAAACTCCAACCAAGCGCATCTTTAGATAACGGTTTCCGCTCCAAGATCCTATCCATCGCTAGCCATCATCTAAATGGAAGGAAAAGATACGCACGGTACGAGAGTCAACTTTTGGTGCGAGACTTTGGAACTCACATAATTACTAGTTCTGATGCTGGTGCTTCCATCTTTAAAATTGATCAACTCAACAGCTCAATATCAACAAATTCGGAATTGACAAAATCAGAAATTTCTGCAGCAGCTGGAGTATTTTTCTTTGGAAGAGGAGCAGGTTTTGACCATGCATCGTCCGTTACTGATCAAATGATCCAAACATATGCTAGTGGTCAAACTCATTCTACTGTTTACACATATGGAGGCAAACCATATAAACCGTTGAATTTTAGTATCAACGACTGGGTCGACGGAATTGGAAATGACTTGGTTGCGGTTGATAAGTCAGGAGATCCATTGCATTTTCTTATTACTAGAGAACAGTTTCCAGAGTTACCAGCCTCTATTCGAGCGAAAACGTATGATTCAGTAAAGGCAGCTATTTCGGCTTATTACAAGTTTAACACGTACAAAGGATGTACTGATATCAACTCTCCCAACTTTAATTTCAATGCCAATGTGGACGATGGAACATGTTTGCCCCCTGGCAAAAACTTGACAATTGGTGGTGTTTACCAAACGTGTGAGTTCTCCGGCGATACAGACGATTTATGCGTTCCCTTGACTCTTAAAAACAAGAAAACCGGAACATTTGATTGTGGCGAAGGATATCAATCAGCCCTGCTTTATCAGGGAAACGTTACAAAAACTGAAATCCGACAGGTGTGTGAAAGTTACATGGTTTTCTGGAAGAAATGCCACGATGTCGTATATTACGGAGAGGCGACGTATTCAACATTCTGGTGTTACGCACACGTCGGTGATGCTCCTCCACAATCTGGTTACCTCTTCGGTGGAATATACACTGAAACTGTCTCCAACCCCGTGACCAAGTCCCAGAGCTGTCCGCCCAATTATCAGCCGATGCTGATAACATCCGACATGTATGTATGCTTGACGGATGATTTTGAGCTTGGACAGAGGTATTCCGTCCCATTTGCTGGTTTCTACAGTTGCCAAGAAGGTAATCCTCTTTCTAACCAGTACTTCTCTCCGACATATACCTCAAAGTCATGTCCCGGAGGCTACAGCCAACACCTCGGTACTATTGCGGACGAATGTGAAGTAAGCTACTGCACACTTGCTAATGCTTTGTTTGGACAAGCGTCTATGCCCATTAGATTCCCTCCATTTGTTCACAAACCAAACGAATGGAACGAGACTGGAAATTATATTATCAGCAACGAAGGCCAAAGCTGGAGTACAGTTTTCAATGTTCCGGACAACTTTAGTGGGTTTGATACCATAGATAAAGAATGGATCGCAAATAACGGGGAAACTCTCATGGTCAAAGATCTTCTGGACAAGAGAAACAGAGATCATGGGGATTTGTAAAGACATGCTTATTATTTACCGATTATCATTAATTGTATCGAAATTATTTTTTATCAAGTAGGCTTTTTATTGTACACTAAATAAGATAAATAAAATGCCAAAAATCGAATATTCTGTCATATACTGTAGTTATCGAATCAAATTTTGTTATTCATTAAAGAAATCTATTTAGGAACACCTGCGTTAAGTATATTGAAAAATGTTTGTTTATGAATTCAGATGGATCGAATGAAAAGATTCATTGGCATATGCATATAAAGCATTTAGAAAATTAATTCCGACTCAATAAATATCCACTGAATATATTTATCTCCCTTCTGTCTCATTTTCATCAATCAGAATTTACAATGACAATAATTAGATATCTTATCGTATTTAAAACTTCTTTAAATGGTTACTTATAACACAAGTGAACTTGTGATGAAAACTTATTAAACGAAAGTCAAGCAATAAAAAGTTAAAGTTTGTATTTTGAAAAATAAATCAAGTCAAGTCACATAAAACAAAGACAGGTTGTAACGCTCACATACAGACACTCACACAAACGTTTTGGTAACTCGAAATAGTCCAGAGAAAAACTATATTTTTCTTGATGACGGAATGTCCAGTGCATCGAATTTTCACGTCCGGATTGTCCACGGCGGATCTAAAAAAAACTCTCTCCCACAACATACGGGATTCTCTCAAACTTCAGTTAACACATTTACGCAATTATCTATGGCACGCCAAATTCACAAAAATGAGATAAACATAGTTTCACAGTTGATAAACTAGGTTTTTCGGTTGTAAACTATAGTTCACGGACTGTAAACTATAGTTAACAACGTTAATCTATATTTTACATCTGTAAACCATAGTTAACGCGATAATCTATGTTTCACAATCGTAAACTATACTTAACACTGAAAACAATCATTTGCGATTGCAAAACATAGATTATCTGATAAATACAGTTTCACGATTTGTAAACTATTGTTTAAAAACCGTTAACTATAGTTAACGATCTGATAAATATAGTTTCACGATTTGCGAAACTATGATTAACAACTCTTAACTATAGTTTACGATTATAAACTATAGTTTACAAATGTGCATCTATGTTTATCAACAAAATCTATTGTTAACGCTTATTACAGACAGATAAACTAAGATTATCATTCGTAAACTATAGTTAACAACCGTTAAATATAGTTTTACAGATGAAAACTATACTTAACAAATCGTTAACTATACTTAACGAATCGTTAACTATAGTTTACGGTTTGTAAACTATAGTTTACAGTCGATAAACCTATTTTATCAATTGTGAAACTAGGTTTATCTCATTTTTGTGAATTTGGCGTGCCATAATTATCGCACATACAAGTTGGACGCTCTTTGAGGTAGAGGATTAACACTAATTCCTTAAATAAATATTGAGTGACAAATTCCTTTTTACTGTCTAAACATTAATTGACTGATAAATAATTTTCAACATATGTTAAAAACAGGCATTAAGGACAGACGAGACGTTCCTTAATAACAGATAAATTTTTCTAAGAGTTTGTCATTGAAGTATTGCTAGTTAAACATGTTTACTCACAAAAAATTGAGGTACCTTACCGGGCATTTCTGCAAGATACCAGGGGTAGTTTTTCTTATATAATCCTTTGGGGATGAAAAATAATTTTCCAATTTCAAATGTTTAAGTGTTTGGATTTTTTAAAAACGTTTACAAACTGGTTTAGAAATCAGAATGTTATTAAAATTTTGAATATTTCTCATACATTACGAAGATATACAAAACGGATTTTGAGGAACGTCTCGTCTGACCTTAAAAATAATTCTTTTTATAAATTAAAATTCTGTTACATTTTAGATAAATTTGGTAAAATTTTCTTTGTGACACTTATACAGACTTAAATATAAACCATTATTATTTTTCTGTATTGCTCCAACTATCTGATTGGCTCAAACTGGATCACATGATCAAGTATAAAAAGTATTACAGACTCGATGTTTCTATTTCAAAAATTTATAAACCTGCTGTTTCTAAAATTGGAAACGTTCTTCTGTGAAGCAACAATAGTGCTGACGTCACAATAGTATTTATAGACTGGATGTTTCTAAAAACAGATACCACATCTGGTTTTCATTACTGTGACGTCATAATGCAATGACATAACAATGCGCTCTCTCTAAGGTCTATATATCGAGGGATTGACCTCACAAAAAGGCTATAATTGTATATTATGCGTCTCTCTCTGTTTGTTGGTAAAGGAATTTAGGGTTGCAGCTATTGCAGAAATGAATTACATGTTTTTTCACCAACAATAATATTGAGCTTTAATTCCTGTACTATCAAACAAAGTTTTTTTATTTTTTTTTTTCAAAGAGATTAAATAGCATAGAAAACAGTTTTTATCGATGATCCTCGGTATTTCACCAAGGGCCATCACTGAACGAACATTTCGTTCATCCTCTTGCAAGGTATTGTGTGGTTTTTAATTAATTAACGTCCCTTTCGAAAATTTTTCACTTATATGAAGCCTCTTGCCGGTGGAGGGCTGCAAATTAGCACCTAAACTTCGCAATCAGAATCAGTATTAGGCAGTGAGGAATCTTTTTTGTATAAACCTACTGCGACATGGACCTCGTTTTTAGGTCTCGTCCAAATTACCAGTCTCTGTGTCCCGCAGTGGGATTCGAACTCGCGACGTAAGGATTAGCTCCTTCCGCCGTCACTTATAAGTAAGGGCTCTAACCAATGCGCCACGTAGGCGACTATGTCCTTGCAAGTAAACGAGATGTCTGTTAATATAATATATGAATCGACTGTGATTTATTATGTAAAAATATAGCATTTTACAATATATACAGTTCCATATACCGTTTCTAAAAAATATTTAGCAATAATTTAGCAATAATTTAATATATATAAATTTTGCTGAAAAAATACAAAAATAGTCAATTCTAGTAATTTAGAACATGTTCATACATTTAGAAGCAAGTGAATAAATTTTTGCGATTGAAATGCATGTATTTAGGCGGTTAACAATAAACTTTGACTTCGATACATGTAGTAGGCTTTAGATAACCACATGTCTGTTTGTATTGGTGACCTCCCACATTTTCATCCAAGGACCAGATATCAGCGTATCAAATCCTTCTTCTGGTTTGTCCTCCTACAAAATTTGCAAAATTCTTTACCATTACATCTTTTTTTACAAATATATTTTTTTTAATAGAAAGGTATCCATGCACAAAAATGAATATTAAAATTGCAAAAAGGGATATTGCAAGCATTGATGGTCCATAATGCTTAATTCTAGAGGAATTAAGGTGCTTACCCGGATATCTTCTACAGCTTTCAACTGGACATCAGTTCGATCTACTGCGTCAAAGGATTCCCAGTCAATTACGTAATTAGGATCCTTTTCTGTTCGGAACACAACTGCTTCTTTCAGTCCATGGAAGGCTGACGGTTTATTGGCATCTTGCCATCTAAGATCCATCGACCATCGGATCTCGTTAGACACATTAGGTAAACTGTAAAAACAGTCATACATATTATAAAACACATATTTTCAAAATCATTTTTCTTGCGCAGGCCCTCGACAATAACATTATGCGGACATTCGAGAACATTACTGCAATTTAGCAGCTGCTCTAAGAAATGTACCTTTGATGAGGTATTGCGTTGCTAAATAACACCATGCCACCATATGGAACCTCAACCAGACGGAGATCTTTCTCCATGTTAACTCCTGTACAATAAAAATTCATAATAATGTAATGTGGCTCATTTCATAAAGTCTGTGGTCGTTACGATGACATTTCTTATCCTTCGGTGGTGTTTTTTTGGACATTCTTCATACCAATTGAATGTCATTTTGATGACGGATTATGCCGCTTACCTTATTGATACAAAGGGCTCACCTGTATCCGCTCGACACGGGATGCTTACTACACCTAGTAGGTAACTGATACCATTTTTGTGAGATCAAACACTGTTCATTACCTTTACCCTTTTCAATTTGTAACTTCTGCAATGGTTGGGTATTTCAAAATAGCACTCAAATACATGTAAAAGTATTTTATATGACGAATGTTTCCCATATTGTATGTACTATGTTTGCAATGGTCATGAAAAGACAAAAATGCCATCTTTTCTAGTAATAATGGCCAGATTTTTTTTCCCTCTCTATGCTGTGATCCGAAAATTTTAAAAGAAGATGTTGAAAGTTGTGAATTTTTATTTACAGACTCAGTTCTACCTAGTGACTTCGTCATTTCCTCTTCCTCTAACATGACGTACCAGGTTCCCTGCCAACAGCACGTGTGATCAGCCGTACGTCCGCTCTTTTGTCCACGACGTAGAAACTACGTAAATCAAGTGCTAATTTTGTAACATTTTCCAAATCTTTTTAAAAAAATATTCAGTTTTAATTTTTATGATAAATTTGTTATGTATATTTATCCTGAGTGTTTGTTATGAGGAAGTAATGACGAATGGTACCAGTACCTGAAGACATCCATTCTTCTCGTTGGCGTCAACAAACGGTATCCACGCTGTCGGTATCAACTGTTTGTAAGCGTCATGGTCAAAATAGGCGTTATCTGCAGGAACACATATATAACATACCGGTAAATTGCAAGGATGGTTAAGTGAGCCTACGATTCACAGATTCCATAAATTAATAAATTTCGTTGTGTGTAAAAGGGGGTTGTATACCCGATTCCTTGCTTATTTTTCGAAAGTATTACAAGTAATAAGCTTCTCGATTGTACCATGTTGTCCAAATCTAGTATATTGTTTTAGGAGGTACTAAGAAATACTAGTAATTTGATACCATTACAAGTATTAAATTTGCATGTCTTGGGGCTTTTGTGGTTGCATAAATTTCTAACATTGAACATATTTGGCTTTGTGAAATAACGACAGATCTGTTATTTTTTCCTGACACAAACTGAGACATGAAGGTTTTTCATGATGTAAGGCTGTGCTTTTTATGATACCTTGGTGCCAAGGAACGACTGTGGGCTCGTGTTGAGGTAGTTTAGAACGCATGTTAAACACACAATTTCCTGCTATATTTGGTCCTATTAACTGTTCAACTACATTTAGCAATCTCTCATTTGTCCAAATATCTTTCATTGCCTAAAATAGAAAATAACATTTCTTTGAACATTCTTCACTAAAACGACATTCAACATAGATCGTTAACTGCATAGGGAAAAACAATTTAATTTTTAATGGTCGTCCATCGGCACATTTGTCACAGGCGATAATAGCTGTGCCATTAAGACGATTTTTTTTCTTTATGTAGAATCAACGACAAAATGAAGTCACACATCGGCACATATTGTCGTCGGTGGCTCATTTGCACAGTTTGCGGCTAATACGAGGTCATCTTTAAAATAATGTTTGTTTGAACTTTCCCAACTCAAAGTAAAAATTTGGATCGGTAGGTGGATGAAAATTATTTTTTCTCAAAAAATTTCAATTCCAATGCTTCACTTTTAAAATATTTTTTTTTATAATATTAGAAAAATTAATTACTTCCTGGAGGTTTAAAACAGTTTTGAGTCAGGCCATTTTCAGCCAGTCAGTGGGGAGAGGGAACCATACAAATTTTCAAAGATGGTCTGATTTCAAAATGTGTATGTTTGTTGAAAATGGTTTGTCGTGTTTTATGTACGTTTGTTTTGCAAAGATAATCATTCGTTTTGCATTTATATGTATATATGTTTGTTTTGCATTTACATATATGTTTGTTACGTTAATGTACATTCGTTTTGCGAAAAGGTCTGTTGATTGTGCATTAAATGTCATTTGTTCAGTTTTTATGTTCATTGAAATTAAAAAGATCGTTTGTTTCCTCATTATAGTAATTTTGCCCTTTCCGCTGTGTAGCAACCTCTGATGATATAACGCAGCTTAATGATAAAAATATCATTAAGCGTTGCAACTGCAACCCTTAATTAAATTATCGCATTAATGGTTGACTTTTTCAACCGCTAATTCTAAATCGCCGCTTAATGAAAGACATATCAATAAGCAGATGAGCATGTCAACTATTAATGCAATGCATTGCAACCTGTAATGATATTTGTATCATTAAGCGACGTTATATCATTATCGGTTGTTACATCGCTGCCCAAACAGCAGTATATGACAGTGCCGCTAGGTTTACACACTTCGCTGTTGCCGACAATGTGTGCAGGCATATTGTACCGATGGGCGAAAATATGTGCAGGGCCCACAATAAGTGCCGCCACAACAGTTTCAATATTCTTTTGTCGCCCGCTCATTTACATGTTTATCTTAGATAAAAGCCTTTGCACAAAACATATTTATGCTCACCTGTGGCAAGACTTGTGTTTTAATCACTAAGATGGCGGCACCCGGCCATTCTTTGTCCATTTTCTGCAGTCGTTCGTGGAAAAGATCACAGTCATTGTATAAACCTTGAGATAAATAAATAGAAATTTGTTGTATACAATGTATACATGTGATATAAACATCTAAATTCAAGACGGTCTTTTCAAAATGTTATTTTTCATATCTTACTGGAAATTTTGCCGGCGTTGTAAAGACGGTGTGCCACATCGTCTACAAGCTTTTCTAGAGCCTTTCTACAGGGTTCGAGTTCACTGGGGGAGAAAAAATCCTTCACCACGACATATCCCTAGAAATACAAGTTACTAGTATATCAGGCCCGTAGGAAGCAATTCAGTTTGAAGGGGGGGGGGGGGGGCCCGGCCACATATTTTCAGTTAGGGGCACTAGAGTATAAACATTATCACTCTATTGCATTTATTTGGTTCTTTTTAACATTATATGATTTATTATTTCTTAGTTTAAAAATATTGATTAAAAAATTATATTCCAAGCTTGATAGTTTAGTTAGAACACAAAATAAGATTGTCAGTGCTTGCAGGCACGTGCATGTAATATAGTTTTTAGAGTGGCAATCACATGCAGAAAAAATATACATACCTGAAAAATGAGACACGCAAAACCTATCCAAAATTCCTCCTTTTCTTAAGGGGGAGGGGGAGGGGTCGTATCCAGCATTACCAAATGTCCTTGATTTGACTATACTGCAACAAACATATTGGGAGGGGGCCAACCAGCCTGTCCATAAGTAATGCCCCATGCTAAGAAGTAATTTAATATTTGAAAAAAAAATTGAAGGGGTAGCCCTCCCCCCGGTTCCCCTGACATGTGCCTGCTGTATTTGGATTTCAAATAAAAGTATCTATGTTGGACATGCTGTTTACTTAGAGAAGTAAATCTGACCCACTTCCACTGTTTCTTATTTGATAATGACAAAGTACAAAGCCTGACAAACGGGTGGTTATAAATATATCTTGTAGAAATACAAAAGTTGTATGTATCGATAACATTTTAAGATCAGGAACATTTGTAAATACCTACCTCTTCAAAAAATCGTTTTATCTCTCCTTCGGATAGTTGTCCAGGTTTTTTCTTCTTTGGTTGGGGCGGCATAGCCGGGAGGTTGAAAACATCTGGGTATGCATCATCAGAATGCCCGGCATAGGGACCTGGCATTTTGGCTAAATATGTTCTCGATTCGGTCCACTTACGTTCTGGCAGGTGCAATGTACCTGATCAAAGTGTTTATTTACATTTCAATCATTGATCCGTGAAACGTTGATCCCATCATTATGGAAGACAGAATGTGACACAAATTCATGATAAATTTTGATTGTCTTATTGAACATTTATGTATGTCATAGAATTTTATTGAGGAAAAACCATGTAAAGTTACTTGCTTTTCTTTGTATCTGATTTTAAAGCTGATGTTTTAATTCATATTAAAAGTCACATTATTTGTTGGTCAAGGTTTTATTTGATCGGACTCGGGATTCTAGACGCAAAGGGGGATTACCTTCCGTGTATCATTGAGGAAGTAGACGACTATGAGGAAATAAGTAACGGTACAGTATTTACTTGGGAGGATACCATCATATATACCAAATATCTGTAATATATAAATATTTTTTTTAATCATATGGAGCAAAAATGTCATAAGTTTTTGGATTGTTCTATTTGTTAAGATTTGTTTGCTAACAACATCAAGAAAAACAAATCCAGCTGAAAATGAAAATGGGACATGTTTGAAAACTTCCTTGATTAACCATTATTGCGAGCTATATTTCTTTGTTTCAGAATAATATATCCATATCTGTTTGTTTCTTTTCATACATATATCTTTAGTAACTCCTGATAATGTCAATATAATTTTGTTGATGTTTTCCCCCCAGTAGACTGAGTGGTGTGACCAGAGCGTCCTCCTGGTCATTGTAAAGACATGCCTCCAATAGTCGTGTTACCAGACTTAGACGTGGCCAAAGAGGTCAACGAAAATGATGGTCACGTAGAAATGGACTTCCTGATGCCAAATGGCATCTTCATTCCCATCCGAGTAGACTTTTATGACTCCATAGAGAATATCAAATTGGTGAGTACTTTTATCCAAGATTTCTTATTGTTAAATGTTGTTGATATGTATAAGGACTTGTGTTAAAACTTTTTAACTTGTGCAAATGTAATGTGCCTGTACTGGCTATAGCATTATTAAGGGCTAATAAAAATTTTACAATTTCTTTGTATTTGGAATCTGCACCATTAATTTCAATTTGATTTTTGTTTATGTTTATTTAATTGAAACATGAAAACATTCTTATTATTTACTTCTGTCTTCTCAAACATCTAACAACATCCCATACTGGGTCATGTCAGAAAAACCTTTCAAGTACTAAGAGACATGAAAACTTCTGGCCATAAATTCAGGCTGCCATATAATTCCCAAATCCTACATGTACATCTCTACATTTCTGAGGCTCAGTAGCCAGTTTTAGGTTGATTTAAGTTTATTATGGAATAAATTCAATTTAAGGTCCACATTTTCTGCCATTGCTGAATAAGGCCTAGAAAAAAAATATGTTTGTTTCCGCTTTCCCGACCGACCCTAATTTATAGTGCCGACCCTAAATATTTTTTAATGCTTTTTTCCCATGATGTGCAAGATTTCACCCAGGGAATTATAGCCTCCAACTTTGCAAGCTTTTCAAGACAGAAAGAAGTTTGGATCACCTTTCTATTATAAGTTTAAGTCACAGAAATGCTTGAAAACACCATTTCTTTTGTCATTAATGTTACTTCTATACATGTTTTGATTAAAGAAGCAAAAAGAAGTTTTTCAAAAAAAAAAAATTGCCTACCTACCTACCCTATATTTTTTCGGCCTGAAAGTGGAAACAAACATAATTTTTTTCTAGGCCTAATGCAAACAAAAAAAAATGCACAAAAGCCTAATACAGAATTACTGTTCAATGAACATGAATACTCTTTTTGACTTTAAAGTAAATGCATCCAAGAAATATCAGAAAAGACTTCATCAGTGATATTCTTGGCTAATGTTTAAGCTTGTCTATTGGCTAAAGGTTGCAATAGCATGACCTTGAATGAAATTTGAGGAGTATGTGGTATCATATTTTGAACATCTTATTTTATTTAGATTGGCTTATTTTAGAATACTAGTATTTATTTTACAGTCAAATGCATGTTTTGTTTTTTTGTGTGAGTGAATTTACATGTGTTGTTGTAAATCTGTTGTAAGAAACTCTGGAAGGAAGCAGAAAATTATCCATTGTTTAAAACTCTAAAGAGAATGGAGAATTATTGCTTCACATACATCAACCAACAAGGGCAAAAGGTCAGTTTCCAAATTTACTAATCTTAGAAATTTCTGCTTTTGACATCTTTTTTTTTTTTTTTTTTACTGTATTGCATATATTATTAAGCATAAAAGCACAGTAAAGGAAGGAATATGAGGCAAAATTCTTGTACATTAACTTTTGGTATATCTTTTTTAACAGGATGAAATAGTCGATGAGGACATGATGCTAAATGAGTTCAAGATAGCTGCCCGTTTTCTGAAATTAGTGAAAAAGAAAGCTGATGATAAAACTCGATCATTGAGTAAAAGCACAAATAATCTGATTGGAATGAAAGGTGAGATTTGATGCTATACTTCATAATCTCCAAGCATTTAATAGAATTTACAAACTTCATTTGGATACAGTTAACTGTACCCAATTATGGGGAAATTACCTTGTTTTAATTTCACTTAGTTCATGATTTATATTTTTTCCCCAAATAAACACACAGTGAATAAGGTTTTCAGACCACAAAAATTGAGTATCAGTCGCAAGGCAAATGCATACTAGTAGTATAACATGAAATTAAAATTCATGGCTTTGAATGAATTGTTAAATTTTAGCACTGTTAGATTTAAATGACTCACATAAAGTACGTCCTGTATTTCTCTAATTTGATAGCAACATACTAGATTTATTGTTTATACGAAAGCTATGGATACATGTTTGTCTCTACAATCCTTGCTTAGGTCAACAATGCATTGATCACCAAGCAGAAGTGTCTCATGACATCACAGACTTTCGCAGAACCATGTCTGCTTATTGCAAAGATATTGTCAATCGAAGGAACCAGGATTTATCAGTAAGAGCCAGTTTTTCATACATCCATGATCAATCAATTTGTAAATCATAAAACTAGATTAAAATTTAGTTAATCTTTGTAAGAAATGAACCTAACATTTTATTTATTGGTAAGATAAACATAAATCCAAAGTCTTTTAGTAATAATTTAAATATGTTGGTGAATTAATGATCTTATGATGTGAGAGTTAAATCTATACTAAGGATATATACAGTTACCAGTTTGTTATCTCAAACACTGACACATATGTCAAAGTGATTTGAAAGTACCGTCTTATTAACCTGTTATATCTCAAAGTTTACCCTTGGTCCTTCCAAGTTTGAGAAATGAAGGGTGACTGTTTGTGAAACCGACGCAATCTGATTTCTGAAAAAATAGGATAGTTGCAAAGATAGAGAAGATAACATCATTTACCCAAAATAAGTGTTCTCCTATTAACAGGGCTTTTTGAGGTTCCAGTACAAACATCCAGTAGGAATCCTAAACCATTCCGTGTTACCTGATTACATTCAGAACAAGTTAAAGGAGGGCATGGTGCTGACAATCCACATCGAGGAAACGGGGGTAAGTATAAACACTACAGGGGGTCTGGTCTGTCCCTTTTCTTTCTTCATAGTAATATTTGGTGCCCTGTCATGCTTTAGAAGTGACGGGTGAAACCAAGATAGAACACTCGTGATTCAGGGGTACAAACTGGTATCCTTGCCAATTACTCATTTAACAATTAATAAATTTGTTATTTTTCTCTATTTATAATATTAGGGAGAAAAAGCAAAAAGAGAAAAAAATGTCAGTTTCACACATACATGTATAAGTGCCCCAAAATGCATAAATTATATTGTTAAATAAATCCTCATTCATTTTTCAACGAAATGTTTACTATTTTTTAAGGTAATTTACACAATGAAGATTGAGGCAGATAAAATCCCAAATGACCTAATTGCCATGGCTCTGGAGAAATGGAGGACCAACACTGGCATGCAGAATTTGAAGGTCTCTGACTATATCCTGAAAGTGATTGGAATGGAGGACTATTTGTATGGGGAGTATCCACTGAGATCCTTCAAGGTTAGGTTATATTTAGTACCACTGTGTCAAGGTTAGGTTATATTTAGTACCACTGTGTCAAGGTTAGGTTATATTTAGTACCACTGTGTCAAGGTTAGGTTATATTTAGTACCACTGTGTCAAGGTTAGGTTATATTTAGTACCACTATGTCAAGGTTAAGTTATAGTTAAGAACCACTATGTTAAGGTTTAGTTATACAGTAAAACTCGTTTTTTATGAACACGGATATTGCAAATTCACGGATATAGCAAAGTTATCTTTTATCCCCAGTTATATAAATTTAACAAATTCTAAATACAGTTATAACAAATTACGGATATAACGAAGTAATTTCATAGGTCCATGTGACTTTGTTATAACCTAGTTTTACTGTATTTAGTACCACTGAGTTACATGACAGTGTAAAATTTTAAATTTGTAAATAAGAACTTCTTGGTTCTTTTTTTTTATAAGATAAATATATGATGTTTAATATATGCTCAAAAAGAAACATTGTGTATTCAAAACTTTGCCTAATTATGAAGGTGACAAGTTAAAACTTTCCCAAGCTGAGGTCTTGTCCAGTATCCAATTTTATGGACTGATTAACTCAAATCAGTCCTCCCTACTTTTTGCCAAGCAGCAATAAAAAGATATTATGTATTTGGACTTGATAGGATATACATGTATATAATGCTGTAATGCTTTTCATCATCATGATATCAAATTCCAATCTATTTCAGTACATATTCCGATGTCTCCTGAGAAACATAGCTCCGGCCCTGTGGCTGAGGCCAAAAAGTAAAGTCATGGGTAAGTCATTTTGACTCCTTGAGCAAAAGGTACTAAATAAATGTAGTGTTTTAAAGTGCTAATAAATAACCATATATATGTATTAAATTTGTTCAGCTTTTAATCTGAAATTTTATGAAATTTAAGATACATGCTTTAACTTTTCTGAAGAATAACAGATTTATGCACTGATGTTTTCAGAAAAAGCAAATGACCTTGACCACAACCCCTCCCGACCTCACCCCGAGCGGCCATGTAAGCCCAGTCTACGAGGGAGGAACAGCATCACATCCTGGGACATCCATGTTAACTTCAAACTGACTATCAACTCGGTCTCTAAAATCATCGTGGATGATAATAGCAAGGTACATTGAAAATGGATTTCTGCAGTGTTTTATGTTAAAGAAGGAATTTTTCATATGTATAGTATGATTTTTGATTTGTTTATATTTTAGTAAACATTTAACGACTCAGGTTTATGCTTGACCCATAATTAGATCATATACTAATTTTGACACACATTGAGGATATACAGACTAGCTGTACATTTAATGAACTAACACCCTGTTGTAGGTCAGACTCTATGTGGGATTATTCCACGGTCCTGAGACACTACGAATCGACCATACAAAGGATGCCCTGGTATACTCCGAGACTGTGTGCTGGAAGAATGAGTTAGAGTATGATATTAAAGTCGAGGATATTCCACGAGACTGCAGACTCTGCTTCGCTCTCCATATAAGGAAAAACAAGGTAATGTAGAAAACCCTTACCTTGAAGGCAATGGTACCTGGATTTATAAGGGTGAATGTTTCCTGAATAAAAAAAATACCTCTATGTATAAGATTTACATTTAAAAGAGATATAAAGGGATATTTTTGTTGAAACAAGTTTCATATAAATCTTAAAAGATGTAAAGGACAGAACAAGTTGAAAAAATTTAAGAAACTTCTAGAGTGAATGAAGATTTTCTTCATTTCATTTTTCATTGCAGGAATACTCACTGCTGACTTGGGCCAATATCCCATTGTTTGACTACAAATCCAGACTTCTGAAAGGGAATTATAAGTTACACATGTGGCCTCGTCAGGAGCATATGGAATTGTATGATTCCTGTAATCCCATAGGTGAGCCATTCATATAGAATTGTATGATTCCTGTAATCCCATAGGTGAGCCATTCATATGGAATTGTATGATTCCTGCAATCCCATAGGTGAGCCATTCATTTTATGGAACTTAGTTACTGCTACAGATACCAAGCACATCTAACTGAAATCTATTTTCATCTATTAGTTTTAGAAATAGCACAAAGATCTGGCGTATGTCTTAGATAAACCTCAAAAAGGAATTTGTTAATTTTTCATGAATATTTTAACTTTACTTGAAAGAAGGATAAACTTACTCTTATCAACTACATCTACGTTAGTCCATAAACAAAGTGGTGTTCAAATCATCAGTTAAAGTTATAACAAATGAATCTTACATTTGTACTGTTTTTTGTTTAGGCACCGTGGCTATGAACCCACAAGTGGACCACTCTACCACCCTAGAGTTCACTGTCCCTGACTTCAAAATCCAATCACACATCATGTATCCTCAACATGAAAAGGTATAACTCAATAGCAAAAATACCCTAGAGGTAACTAATAAATAGCTTATATAAGATACATGTAGGTCATGCTGTAAGTTTATAATGCTGAATATGTTACTTTTCTTGTAGGTTTTACAATGTGCAAGTGAAAACATGGAGGAGAAGGGAAAACCAGGGTCTCCTGTGAGTTTTATACAAGGAAATTATAATGGGTCATCACCTGTTAGCAAAATCATTTATTATTCACAGTTTTTATTATGTAATAAAGAAAAAAGTCTGGAATGTATGTACTTTACAAGAACTGGGAATAATTTCAGTGAAATGATACATCAAAATCCAAGATTTTTTTTCTTTTACCAAAGAACTGGCATCCCAGTAAGACCCACATTATCCAGTTTGAGGAGGTGATGAACGATGACAAGGGAGGTAACCGACAGCTGGCCGAGCAGGAGAAGAGCCTTATCTGGATGATGCGGTACGAGATCCGCGACAACTACGACCACGCGCTGCCACTCCTCCTGAACGCCGTCAAGTGGGACAACCACATCGACGTAGCCAAGGTCTGTATCACGATCGCTGTCATACCCGCCAATCTCGCTAAATATAAAGTCATCCGACAAATAACATTATTATTTAAGTTTATTCATTTTTACTCCATTTCTTATATTGTACATACATGTATGTATAAATCATTTTAAAGTTTAAAAAAAAGTACTTGAAGTGTATATAATATACATGATTTATTTTAATGGATAATAATTTGTAAATGAATTAATGTTCTGGATTTGACCTACTTATTTCAGATGATGGCCCTCCTTCAGTCCTGGCGGCCAATAGAACTACAGCACGCCCTGGCCCTGCTGGACTTCCACTACACAGACACAAATGTCCGAGAGTTTGCATGTAAATGCCTCGAGGAACTCAGGTTAGACGTAAAATATTTTGTGTTACAGTCCAGTCAGTTTGTATCATTTTTGTTATATAGAAGTCAGAAAACAAAGCCAGCTTTTTGTTCAAATTTTTATGTTAAATGATAATTAATTGACTGACATTATATTACCTCAAAACTGTATTCACAAGTGTTTTTGATAAAACATGTATTACATTTATTGTAGCCATCCCTAACTAATTCCTTGTCACTTTATAAAGGAATTATTACAGTATGTTTTCAAACTTGCATAGGATAGAAATATTTGAATCATAATTAATGATCCCTGTATTTTAATTCTTAATGGAGTATAAAGCTTGTATATTTGAATTTGAAATTTATTGTTTTTTTTCTCCAGTGATGATGATCTGTCTCAGTACATGCTACAACTAGTCCAAGCCCTGAGGTTCGAGTCACACCTCATGTGCCCTCTCAGTAAATTCCTGCTGTCTCGGGCTCTAGAAAACCAACATTTAGGACACCATCTTTACTGGCTGCTGAAGTAAGCAATAAACAAAGAAATTTACAAGAAATTAAGGATGTAGCTCATATCGATTTGTTATGTTTTTCTATGACCCTTGTTTTTTTTAGGACCATCATTCAGTGATGAAACTCATTGCTGTCATCCCACATTTTAAGTTTATATTTTTTCCCCTTTAGATCAGAGATGCATGAATCCACAGTGACTGTGCGTTATGGCCTGATGTTAGAAGCCTACCTCAAGTCGTCTCAAGATCATCTTATGATTCTCAGCAAACAGCAGGATATCCTTATCAAACTGTCCGCTTTTAGTGACATTGCCAAAAATCCCAATGTAAGATATACTCAGAAATGGAAAATTTATAATGAGAGATAATATTTTTTGAATGCTACTCATTCCACAGTTTTGACTTATGTTAATAATAAAACTTAATGACAAGTAAATTATATTAAGCTCCATAATTCTGAGTATGAGTGTGGAGATTTTTAGCTCTTCTGAGCCAAAGGCTCAAAGAGCTAATGCTATGGCCATTTGTGCGGTGTGCGTCGTGCGGTGTGCGTTAACTTTTTAGAATATTGGCCATAACTCGAGAACCCCTTGACCAATCAGTGTCAAATTTGTCACAGGGTATCCTTGGCCCAAGGGCTACCATTTATACTAAAATAAGGGTTGGGACCCTAAAACAAGGGGAGATAATCAGGAAAACAAAACCAAAAGTACTGGTTGCAAAAAAATCTTCTTCTCCAGAACCACCAGGCAGATTTTCACCAAACTTACATACAATGATCAGGATATGTTGAAGATTAAAAATTGTTCAAGGCATGACCCTGGGGCAAAGGGCATGGTCTCAAGGTCACTTCAAAGTTGACCTAAATTTACAATTAATGAAAATGTCTATATTTTGCTTACTATAAGGACTAGGATCATCAAATCTTGTAAGTTGATGCATCTTAGGACTTCACATCATGTTAACTCAAAAGTAGGTCACGATGGCCTACTTTTTAGCTCACCTGAGCTGAAAGCTCAAGTGAGCTTTTCTGATCACATTTTGTCCGGCGTCCGTCTGTCTGTCTGTCCGTCTGTCTGTAAACTTTTCACATTTTCGACTTCTTCTCAAGAACCGCTGGGCCAATTTCAACCAAACTTGCCACAAAGTATCCTTGGGTGATGGGAATTCAGGTTTGTTCAAATGAAGGGCCACGCCCTCATTCAAGGGGAGATAATTGGGAATTAATGAAAATTTGGTGGCATATTTAAAAAATTTTCTTCTCAAGAACCACTGTGCCAGGAAAGATGAAACTTATGGGGAAACATCCTCAGGTAGTGTAGATTCAAGTTTGTTCAAATCATGACCCCCTGGGATAGGGCGGGGCCAAAATGGCCGACCAAAGTTTTACATAGAAATATATAGGAAAATTCTTTAAAAATCTTCTTCTCAAGAATGACAAAGCCATAATTCATCATATTTATATGGAAGCATGCTCAGGTAGTGTGGATTCAAGTTTGTTCAAATCATGACCCCCGGGGGTAGGGCGGGCCAAAAATGGCCGACCAAAGTTTTACATAGAAATATATAGGAAAATTCTTTAAAAATCTTCTTCTCAAGAATGACAAAGCCATAATTCATCATATTTATATGGAAGCATGCTCAGGTAGTGTGGATTCAAGTTTGTTCAAATCATGACCCCCGGGGGTAGGGCGGGCCAAAAATGGCCGACCAAAGTTTTACATAGAAATATATAGGAAAATTCTTTAAAAATCTTCTTCTCAAGAATGACAAAGCCATAATTCATCATATTTATATGGAAGCATGCTCAGGTAGTGTGGATTCAAGTTTGTTCAAATCATGACCCCAGGGGGTAGGGCGGGGCCAAAATGGCCGACCAAAGTTTTACATAGAAATATATAGGAAAATTCTTTAAAAAATCTTCTTCTCAAGAATGACAAAGCCATAATTCATCATATTTATATGGAAGCATCCTCAGGTAGTGTAGATTCAAATTTTTTTCAAATCACGACCACGTGAGGCGGGGCCAAAATGGCCGACCAAAGTTTTTAAAGATATATATAGGAAAATTCTTTAAAAATCATTTGCTAAAAAATAACAAATCCGATTGGTCATGGGACTACTTTTGGATTGAATCTTTACAATAAAAAGCCATTTTCTACTTTTTCCTACCCTTAGTGCTCAGGTGAGCGATGTGGCCCATGGACCTCTTGTTAAATTTTGCGGGCATTTGTTTTCAAATTGATTTGAAGGCATATTTTGGACACTTTAAGGCCTATGATCATTAAACTTTGTTAGTTGATGCATCTTGGATCCTTGAACAACGTCAACTTAAAAGTAGGTCACCCTGACCTACTTTTTGAACTTTATGACTTATCTTTTTTAAAACATTTCATCCCATTATTTCAGACACTGAGAGGGTTAGAATCATCAAATCTTGTAAGTTGCTGCATCTTGGGACCTTAAAACATATTTAAGTAAAAGTAGGTCACTGTGACCTACTTTTAGAATTTTGCAGGCATTTGTTTTCAAATTGTTTAAAAGGCATATTTTGATTATCTTCAGACCAACGATCATCAAACTTGGTCAGCTGATGCATCTTGGGACTCTGAAAAATGTCGACCAAAATGTAGGTCACCGTGACCTACTTTCGACATTTTATGGCTATATTTCAGTATCTTAGGTATTTATTGGCTTAGAATCATCAAACTTTGTGAGTTGATGCATCTTGGGTTTTCGGAGAGTGACGACCAAAAATTAGGTCACGGTGACCTACTTTCAATATTTTGTGGCTATATTTATGTATCTCCAGTACTTATCGGCTTAAAATCATCAAACTTTGTCAGTTGATGCATCTTGGGTTTTCGGAGAATGTCGACCAAAAAGTAGGTCACAATGACCTACTTTTGACATTGAATGGCTATATTTATGTATTCTGGTACTTATCGGTTTAGAATCATCAAACTTTGTTAGTTTATGCCTCTTGGGTTTTCAGAGAATGTCGACCAAAAAGTAGGTCACCGTGACCTACTTTTGAATGTCTCAGGTATTTATTGGCTTAGAATTATCAAACTTGGTCAGCAGATGCATCTTAGGCCTCTGATAAATGTCAACCAAAATGTAGGTCACGATGACCTACTTTTGACATTTAATGGCTATATTTAAGTATCTCCAGTACTTATCGGCTTAGAATCATCAAACTTTGTCAGTTGATGCATCTTGGGTTTTCGGAGAATGTCGACCAAAAAGTAGGTCACGATGACTTACTTTTGACATTTTATGGCTATATTTAAGTATCTCCAGTACTTATTGGCTTAGAATCATCAAACTTTGTTAGTTTATGCCCTTTGGGTTTTCAGAGAATGTCAGCCAAAAAGTAGGTCACGGTGACATACTTTTGAATATCTCAGGTATTTATTGGCTTAGAATTATCAAACTTTGTCAGAAAATGCATCTTGAGACTCTGAAAAATGTCGACTAAAATGTAGGTCATGATAACCTACTTTCGACATTCTATGGCTATATTTAAATTTCTTTGGTACTTATTGGCTTAGAATCATCAAACTTTGTCAGTTGATGCATCTTGGGTTTTCCAAGAATGTAGACCAAAATGTAGGTCAAGGTGACCCACTTTTAAATATCTCAAATACATATTGGCTTAGAATCTTCAATCTTAGTTTGTCTAATAATGCATCTTGAGTCCTCAGAAAACTTCAATCTTAAAGTAGATCACCGTGACCTACTCATGGTTTTTTTTTTATAGCTTTATTAAAATATCTTCAGTCCTAATTGGCTAAGAATCATCAAACTTTTTATCAGTTGATGCAACTTGGGTTTTAGGATACTTAGGGTTAGAGGCTTCAAATACAAGTGATAGGTTGTACAATTTATCAGAAGAGCGATTCAAGGCCCTTGGGCCTCTTGTTATGAACAATATTATTACTGGTCTTCCTAAAATTTTGGGTCGATATCAGTTATACTTGGCACAAAATTAAAAAAAAATAAAATCAATTGAATTGAAAATTGAAAACAAACTATAAGAGCTTTTGTTTTTATGAAGACAGCTGTTTGCATATGAATAATTAAAAGTAAATGTTTAAAGTGATAAAAGACTAGACTACAAGTTGTAAAAAAAATTATGTTTTGCAGAAAAAAATGCAAAAGAACAAAGATGATGTGAAGAGACTGATGAAACAAAAAATAGACATCTTGTCTGGACTCTATAGTCCTCTAACACCTCAAATCTCCCTTAAAGATCTACTGTAAGTTTGGCGTGTTTAAGTATGGTCTCAGTATTTTTAAATACTGGAAACTCCCTTTTAGGATCACTTAAATTCTCTTTACTTCAGAAAAAGACATGGACATTTATAACCTGTCTCTCAAAATATGATACCAGGAATTTTTTTTTTTTTGTTGTAAAATTTTCATGTCTGTGTTTATACATGTATGGTATATGTACTGTATGTGATTGTCCTTCAAGGGTTGACAAGTGTAAGATCATGGACTCCAAGAAGAGGCCTTTGTGGTTAGAGTGGACAAATGCTGACCCTAAAGGTCCTAATATTCTCATCATGTACAAAAACGGAGATGGTAGGTACCCAATTTTTTACCTTTAGTCAGTAGTAGACCTGTCAACCTGGGTTACTAGTGTATCTCTTGAATTACTTGTTTTACTGATATATGTAAATGTGAATACAGGATAGTGAGTGTACATGCATGTAAAGTTAAAGCAAGAATAATTTCATTTGTAAAGTGCTTGAGAGGATATCTTGATGTATGGATACATTTATCTTGATGTATGGGAATTGGCAAGGAAAGGCTAACCTGGATAGGAAAAAAGTTTCATTTTCTCCAAATCACTCTTTCTTTTCAATGTTCCATTAATTTTTTCAATCTGTTTGAAAAATTGACAAGAATTTATGACCAGTATCTTTCTCACTTCAGATCTTCGACAAGATATGCTGACCCTGCAGATTTTACAGATCATGGATAACATCTGGAAAAACGAGGGGCTTGATCTCAGGTAAAAAGCTATTGTTTGTCTTAATTTGTCATCAGGAAATGCATGCAGCAAACTTTTGTGAGTTTTGCACCAAAGATAATATTACACAATGAAGATTTTGTAGTGAAGTTGTTTTATTCCTGCAACATTTTGACTTATTCTATTGACAGGGTGAACCCCTACAGTTGTATTGGGTATATTTTACTCTGTAGTTGTTTATTCCTGCACTATTTTGTCTCTATTGACAGAATGAACCCTTATGGCTGTATTGGATATATGTAGTTGTTTTATTTTGACTTACTCTTATGACAGGGTGAACCCCTATGGTTGTATTGCCACAGGAAGAGAGGAGGGGATGATTGAAATTGTAACAAACTCCATGACCATCTCTAAAATCCAGAAGTGGTACAACAAAGGGGCATTTGCCAAAGAAGCTCTGTATGAGTGGCTCAAATTTAAAAACCCCAATGAAGCTAGGTACTTATAAATAATAAAAAAAATATAGCAATAATAATGCATGTGAATATTCTTGTTTATAAATGGTTTTTCAGCAGAATTGTTTAACATTGATTTACTCTAAACAATTTTTTTTTTTACATTTTTTACATTGTAGTCTGTCTCAGGCCATTGATGAGTTTACCTATTCCTGTGCTGGGTATGCAGTGGCCACTTACATCCTGGGTATTGGTGACAGACACAATGACAACATCATGATGAAGGAGTCTGGACAGGTAAATACTTTAAAGGATGCCTGATGTAGACAAAATATAAAGAAGGGATACATGGATAGGATGTTCCAATTTCCAAGTTAATATTTTAAGCTCATAAATGTATATATTTCTTTTTTGACAGCTTTTCCACATAGACTTTGGCCATTTCCTTGGTAATTTCAAATCCAAGCTAAACATAAAGAGAGAGCGAGTTCCATTCATTCTGACGTCACATTTTGAGTATGTCATCAGAAGAGGAGAGAAGGACAAGGAGAATTTTGACAGGTGAGTGCTGACATTTGGGAGTACATATAGAGGAACGAGTCAGTTCTACTGATCCATCTCAGTTAGTGGTATCAGTCAGGTGGGCTCTTGTAGGCTAATTGCCATCTCCACTGGCTTATTGAAAGCTAGCAGTTATCTCCATGGACTTACTGCATTTGCATCTTCTATTTGTGGTATCCACAAGCTTTATGGAGTCTGGACTCTGGGCAATTTGCAGTATAGTAGTGGACTCCATGAGATGTTAGTTGTCTGGAAGTGATATCTATGGATCTTTTGAAATCAGGCAGTGGTCTTTACTTGCATATTGCAATTAGGCAGTGGTCTTTACTTGCATATTGCAATCAGGCAGTGGTCTTCAGTTGCATATTGGAATCTGATAGTAGTTTGATTGGTTCCTTGGCAATTGCAATGAGTGGATTCCATTGGTCTATTGCAAAATGTAGTACATTTACACATAATCTCAGTGGAACAAATACAATGCAGTGTGTGCAAAGTAAAACTAAATACTTTACAGTCTCAAAGGAATCCCTGACTACCTATTGTTTCCATTGATCTGACCCAAGGACTGCTTTCTGAGAATGCTAAGCAGTACCAGAGGTCTCAATGGAAATTAGAAACTGCATTGCTATGCATCTATGTTATTTTTAGATCTTTGTCTCTTTAGGTGTATATAGTGATTATAGTTCATATGAGAACTACACCAGCTAAAACAGAAACTATTGCAATGCATGGAAGTACATGTATTGTAAAAGTACACAGTAATTTATTATAGACATATACATGTATGTTTCTATCATGTTTTTATTGGTTTTACAAAATCAGATTCAAGATATTTTTTTATATTTATAGATTAATATAAATTTATTCCTTTTTCAATTTTTTCTATATCCAGGTTTCAACAGGTGTGTGAGCGAGCCTACATGATTATCCGATCTCAAGGAGCTCTGTTGATCCGTCTCTTTATGATGATGTTGTCTGCTGGGATTCCCCAGCTGACCAGCGTCAGCGACGTGGATTATCTCAAGGACACGCTGGCCTTAGATCTGTCAGAGGACGAAGCCAGGAAGAAATTCATTGACAAGTTTAAGGAGGCCAAAAATAAGAGCTGGTCTACTAGTGTCAACTGGGCTATCCATAACATGGCCCATAAATAAAAGGCAGGTCAGACTCAATAAAGATGGGTGCCAGTATATGACTAGTTCACTTAGAACTCAGGTGTGAAATGTACTATATTTACAGAAGTGCCTTAAATCATGAAAAACTACAACATAGTCACATTTCGTAAGGGGATATTAGCAAAATAGCTATATGTACCACATGATATTTCTTATTTTAATTTAACTAAGATATGGTGCACCATTGAAAAATATTTCCATTGGATTACTTTGCATAATACATTATTTAGTTATATTTTGTGATATGAGATAATCTTGCTTTTTTTTCACATATTAGATGCACACATGCATGTACAATGTGCATAAAGAAAAGAAAAACTGTCTTTTTCCCTCAGTATAATTTGCTATGAATGCTAATTTATTTTTGTCGTAAGAAAAATAATAACAAAGTACATGTATTAATTGGCCACCAGATCAATTTTTTGTATTGAATTCTTTGTATCTCACTTTTTATAGCATCCAGTGTATTTACTTTAGGGAGCTTGATGACTCAAAAAGTTTGATTTTAAAGAAAAAATCTTATGAGTCAAGGCCTTGTAAAATTGGCTGAAATTCTTAATGTACAGTTAGAAACAAAAGGTTTTTTTTGAATAAAGTTTGGTATGAAACTTTTTCCCCTTTATTTTAACCAACCATTAGCATATATTTCAAACATCCAACAAATTATTTATTTCATATGGTTTCATTTTTTCAGCAATTACACTTGAACCATTTTTGTGTCAGTGCCATAACCATACTTTTGAAATGAACCTTTTACCAATTAAACAAATAACTACAACAATTTTTCATTAAATGAAGTCACAGGTGTTACAAAGAAGAACTCGCTAGTTGTTAAATGAAATCTTTATTATATACATGTAGTTTGGTCCTATTGAGAATTGGGTCATATTTAGGAGATTTTGGTGGAAGCCCGCTCACTTGAGGGTCTCCTCTCAGTAATCATGATATGCCTCTAAAGCTCACCATTAACCATAACAGTGTGTTCCTGATTAGTATTTAATACCAACAAATTTAATAATTTTCTGGGTCCATTTCATGAACTACTTAATGGACATCTCTACAAAGCTTTTGGATGTCAAGAAATCCCATCTCAAAAGAGCATTCTCCAAGATTTCTTAATATTTGAAGTTATATGAAGTACTTTATATTTCATACAGTTAAAATGTTAAATACTGTTTAGAAATATATGTATCTTGTACAATGCAATATTTTAATATTTTTCTTAGTCATTTTTTGTTTTGTTTTATTTTTTATTCTACCATTGTAACGATCAATATTTTATTTATTTCATGCTCTGCACTAGACATGTATACATGTATATTGTTAATATGCAGTATTTTAACAATTTAACACAAAGCTGAGGTACAATGTATTTTAATTTTGGTATTTACCTTCTTTGATTCAGATTCAATTATTATTTTTAATTAATTTTGGTTTGATCTCTTTCATTTTTTCCTCAGATAAACTATATTCTTGTATTCATTGGAACAATCTTGCAGACAACCTAAATTCAATGTACTATATACTCTGTATTTATACTCTAGCTGTTCTCTAAAATTTTGTTCTTCTGAATCTTTAAGTATTTTTCTTCTTGCCAAAGATAAATATTTTGTATATGATATACATGTATAAGTAAATACTACATGACATGACGAAATGTTTATGTGCAATGTAAATAACAAATGTAGTTTGTATATGTTTATCTTTTATGTAATTCCTGTTCAGTGTCCTGATTATAATTCAAAGGACTATATCCTGTAATAACCAATAGCTGCCCTGAAATCAAACATAGAAGAATAAATCTGTACTAATTTTCTTCTGCTGACTTAAAAACCATGCATACATTGCCTTTTTTCATCAGCCATGATTTCATGTTTTTAATATGATGTAAATTCAAATTTTCAATGTTTTTAAGAGAAAAATGTATTTTACATCAATATTTTGATTAAAAATCGATGAGGGCAGGTCTAGATGTTGTTACAACAGTGTATAATAACTTCTGTTAAATCAGATTTGTCTTTCAATCTATACACTGTACCATAGTGCACATCATTAGACATTTTCAAAATCTGGATTTTAGTGGGGCAAAAATGTGCTATTACAGTATATAGTCCTTTTAGTATGAAATGCTTATGTTTTTTGATATTCATGCATATTTTAATGTAATTCATTCCATTTTAGTATTCCTGGTGCTGTTTTATTCTGATGCAGATTTCGATTTGAGATCACTTAAAAGTCTTTACTTGTAATAGTCATTTGATAAAAGTTTATATAAAATCATGAAGTGACACATTCCATTTTTTATATGTTTTTTTTTTATTGATTGTTTTTGTGACCAGTAAGTCATTTTGTTATATTTTATGTAATTTTATTGATGCTTATTTTTGCTGTATAGATATTTGTCTTTGGTCTATTTTTAGCTTTAAATGAATTAGTTAATTGTTAATGGAGATGAATGTCATCTAAAACTTCCATGCATAAATTTTTTTGTCACATTCCTATAATATTGTAACATTCCACAAACTGTTGATCTATTAAATGCTACTCAATTGTTGAAATAAAAGTATGTTATTTTAAGTTTGAATTTACTTTATTCAGTGTACCAAAAATTCCTTCAAATTTTCCGTAAAATGAGCCACAATGCTCACCTGAGTAAGGGAGGAGGTTGCTTTGAACAATTTAGAGTCTACACTACCTCCCAGGAAGCTTCCACATAAGTTTTTCTGGCCCAGAGGTTTTGGAGAAGATGATTTTTCCTATATATTTCAAAATTTAACTTGGATTCCCTATTTTACCCCCCCCCCCATGGGCAATGATTTGAACAAATTATAATCAACACTACCCAAGGATGCCTCCACATAAATTTCAACTTATTTGACCCTATGGTCCTTCAGAAAAAAAAAATAATTGCCCCTACACTATTTTTGTCTTATCTCCCCTTGAAAGGGGGTTTAAATTGGTCCTTCTTTAAAATAAGTTGAATTCCCTTTCACACAAGAATGCTTTGTACCAACTTTGGTTAAAATTGGCCAAGTTGCTTCTTGCAAAGAAGATGAAAATGTAAGTTTACAGATGGTTGGATGGACAGGAGATGGGCAATGGGTGATCAGAAAAGCTCTTGAGCTTTCAACTCAGATGTGGCTAAAAATGGTAACCTATTATCATACATACACAGTATCAAATTATTACAGTGCTCTTTAGTTTTCAGTATTTCATGCAAACCATAAGATACTTATTCCTTAAATATTGAGCAATACTTTAAGGCTTTTGGAATTTTATTGATCAAAATGGATTTAAAACCATAACTAAAATAAATCAGTAGTGAAAAAATTGAAACATTGTATAGACAACATGCAATATATGTATTTATTGTCAAAATAAATCCATTTAATACCAGTATTTTACAGACATTAATACTAGAAATATATGACTTCAGTTATAATGATACAGATTATGTTATGTATTCTCATTCTGTATCCCATCAAGAGCTTGTTTGAGATCATTGATTGCACAGTCTATGTCACTCTGAGTTGTCTCCCGTCCCACTGATAATCGAATAGCTCTCCTAGCCACAGACTCATCTATATCTAACGCCAGCAAAATGGGGGAGGGTCTACAAATACACATTGTAATTGAAATCTTTTAAGATCTTGTATCATAACTTAGTCAGGCTTTAAGCAAACTGATATGAGATTGATTTGAACATGTGTTTTCTGTAGACATGTGCCTTACCTGTTTTTGGAATGGCAGGCAGCTCCTATGCTGGCCTGCACCTGCTTACATTGTGATAAAACATGGGTACCTGAGACGAAACAAAATTACCAGTCATAGACTCGTAGAGGATTTTCTATGTATTTTGTTGGACATGAAATTTATTTAAAGTGTGGAACATATAATTATTTTTCTTATATTATCAAACTGTGTTGCATTAAAGTGACACACATTTGTGCCCTTATTACATTGTGTAGTTGTGTTTTTATATCAGAGTGGCTAATATGATGCTGATTTTAGATTTCCAACTGTTACACATACAAATACAGTTGTACATATACTAGCTAAGACTTGATGATTCAAACCCCCACCACCACCACCACCACTATTTCCTCTTCATCACTACATACGGTAAATCTCCAACCCCCCCCCCCCCCCCACTTTACCTACCCCAAACCCCTCACAGAAATCTGTATACAATATATTGTAAACAAAGAACTGATTTTGCTGTATTCCTCTTCCTGTTCACATTTAATTAAATCCTCTGAATGTGTATGCATGACTTACCACTGCAATCAACTCCTAGGAATGACACATTACACGTGTTGGGAATCCGACTACTGTGAGGGAACTTCCCATTGAAGCAGACATCTTTACCAAACTCAGCCTGCAAGAAAAAAACTGCACACTTATATAGTTTTCAACCTAAATGACAGGCAAAATTTTCAAAGATTTCACAGAGTACCTCCTTTACCTTTAACCTTTCCTCTAAGTAATTCCTGATTTTCTCCATATGAACATTATATTTGTCAATGTTTTCTGTCACTAGTTTTGCTGCTGTTCCAAGACCTGCTATCATTGCAGTGTTTTCTGTGCTGTCGAAATAAATGTATAAGACTGTGATATAGCATTAAATTCTCTATTACATCAATAGACAATTACAGATATAAAGTAATGATTTTCTTCATAATTAGTCTTCACAGGTACATTATTCCCATTGTATCAACTCAGCTCTCAAATGGGGCTTCTGATGAGTTTTATGTTTAAAAATTTTACTATAGAGGGAAATCAACCTAATCTGTTCCAGTAGCACTTACCCTGGCCTGTAGTTCCTTTCCTGGCCTCCCCCATAAAACATGGGGTACAGGGGCACCTCCTTGCTGCAGCCCAGATCTTTCACATAAATTGCTCCATTTCTTGGTCCATAAAACTGTCAATGAAAAGCAAAGTATACACAATAAATAATTAAAGTTGAACTTTGGTATTTCAAACTCTGATATCTCGAATACCATGGATACTCGAAGTGATTTGGAAGTCCCAATCATTTATTCTTTAAGTACATGTATATAACCTTCGATATCTTGAATCCACGGTTATTTCAAAGTTTTTTCTCAGTCCCTTCAGGTTCGAGATAACGAAGTTTGACTGTAGTTTATAGATTTATGCACATAAACTAGTATAGTGAAACCTGTCTTATCCGCCATGCACTGGGAGACAAATTTTGTATCGGAATAGAAACGTGGAAAATGGTAAAATGGGAACGAAATTAAACATCAGAATTCACAGTGTGTCAGATTATGCAGGTGTCGGATTAGACAGTTTTCACTGTAGTTGAATCTGGCCTTCTGAACAAAAAAATAACCTGCTTTTACACTTTTTTGAGAATCTTTATGTCCCTTCATGGCTTTTGTAGTAAAAAATAAGTGCAAACAAAAATGTAAATGATACAATGATTAAAACTTATCTTTAACTTTGCATAATTAAGTAAGTGATTTTTTCTGGTCCATATTCTCTTTAGTTCTTTATTTATAAGTTCACACCTTGTGTCCCACCACTGTGAGGTAGTCCACTCCTAAGTCCTCTACATTGACCCGGATTTTACCGATTGCCTGAGCTGTGTCGGAATGGAGGAGAATCTTGGGAATGGATTTCCTGGAGACATTGATCTGCCTCACTCTCTCAAATATCTCCTTTACTGGCTGTCAAAATAAATGAACAAGTCTGAACTTAGGCAGTAAATGTACATGCATATTAAGAGAGACTAAACTGAAATAATGCAATATATGAAGTGGAACTATTTTTGCATGTTAAGGAAGCGAAAGTTGATCTTAATCCCTACCTGTATAATTCCAGTTTCATTATTGGCAAGCATTATGGAAATCATGCAGGTCGAAGGTCGAATGGCAGCAATGACATCATCAACCATCACATGACCAGTTCGTGGTGAGGCAGGTACAAAAGTCACACCTTGAAACATGCAGTACATACATAAATATTTGCATATCCAATGCTCTCTCCCACTATGAACATGTGGTCATCAACTGCATTCACAGGCCTATAGACGCAGCTGCTCCCGCTATGAGTGCAATTGCTCTATCCCTTTCGTGTAGAACTAGCTCTACTAGAGTTGTAAAACGTGTTGAGAAGTATATATATGAAATGTTTCGAAAGAGGAATAAAAATAAGTTTGTAATAATATTCGTTGGAAAAAAAAGAAATTCAGAATATTTAAAATTGCTGATTTATATCCTTAAAATTTCAATTTTGGTCAATGTATTTAATTGTATAATAAAACTTTTAAAAAATTGTAAAAAAAAAACTGCATATTTTTATTTTTTTCGTTTCATGCATATTTGTACAAAGAACGATAACTCTTCACACTTGGGTACTAACATTCAGAAAGAAAAAAATTACTAGTATATATCTATTTCAAGAACGATTTCAGCTATTAAAAATAAATAGAAAAAAAAAAATCATAGAAAAGCATTCTGGAGTAATAATCATTATAAAAGCATTATCATTTTTTCATCATAGTGTTAAATTATTGATTTTTGTCAGAGGGTTTCAGTAACGTTGATCGATGACGTCACAGCTGCATCAAAACAAAAATTAAGAGAATGTGATGACGGCGCTGCTTGTATCCAGATAACTGTGTTTGAGAGGGAAATACTTTATAAATTATTTGTGATTTATTAGATAAAATGAGCATTGATCAGGTGTACTGAATTTAAAGCCGTATGTTTTTCTTTACCGAAGACAAGAAGCCGCGTCCTTATATAAGTCAGGATTTCCTCTGATATTTTTGAAAAAATCAAAGAATGCAAATATAAGTAATAAACAACGATTATTCAGTGAACATGGCATTATGAATAGCAATAGCTCTGCTGGCATATTTTCCATGATGCGCTAGTGCGCATCATGGAATATGCCAGCAGAGCAATTGCTATTCATAACGCCATGTTCACTGAATAACGTTGTTTATTTCTTAAATATCCCAAGTGTTTAAAGCTGCTTATTGAAACATTAATAATGAATGCAGAGCAAATATTTTATTAATTCTAAATGTACATTTTCTAAACCATATTACCATACTGTTAATCTCATTTGTTTTCTGACTGCTTTCTCCAATGGGCCAACTCTATAAATCATTTATTACTCAGTGGCCAAAAGCTATCTTACTTGCGATGCCCTCTTCAGCGAAGTGTTCCAGCACCAGTTTTACAGCATCATGTTCCAGATTTGATGTAATGAAGTGTGGCAAGTGATCTTTGTCTGCGCATAATCCATTATTCCCCCTACCCCCAACAGAGTGAAAATATTTGACTCCTGTGTGCAGAATCATGTTGTTTCCCTGAAAAATTAATACCCTGGTAATAAAAGGTATATATTAGTAAGAACATGAAGTTACATATCATACATGACAACCAATTTACTTTATCATCATACAAATTTTAAATATGTACATTTTCTTTTCAATAAAACAGAAATCCGATTAGTATTTTGGTTGAAGTAGTTAAAATTATATATGAACATATACTGATACATTAACAGATAATACTGGTACTGTGTCCTTTACATAAGGTGTGACTTTACATAAAATGTAATTTGTTATTAATACATGTAGTTATAAAATGTAATGGTATCAAATGTGTATATAACAGAATGTCCACAATTAATGGGTTCAATTATACAGTCCCACAAAACCAGTACTGAAAACAGAAATGGTATTAACCCTTCACGATAATTGCAATACTACTCTTTTAAAGGGCAAAAGATTAATAATGTTTTGTGAAGTTTATGTTGATGAATAATTAAATGACATACAGTGGACCTTCAGATATCCGGACCCCAGACATCCGGATGCTTCAGTATCCAGACGACTTTTCATCGGAACAAAATTTGTAAATATAATTTTTTCTTGTTTAACTGGTGATTCAGGTATCCGGACGCTTCACATATCCAGACAAATTGACTGGGAACCAAAGCGTCCGGATAAATGAGGCTCCACTGTATATTAAACAATTGCTTTTGCATCATATTTCACCAAAATATATCATTTTGCCCTGCAAAAGAGTAATACCACAGGTAGTGCAATAGGATACTCTATTAAATACTACATGTACTAATATGAAGAAAATTAAACACTGATATTAAGAGGAAAATTAGATAGTACATGTATAAGTTTTATACAGCATGCAGATCATGAGATGATTGTAAAGCAGTCACAATTAATGAAAATTAATGAAAAACCAAACCAAAATAAAATACTATATATAAATAATTAAACCACACCAGAAGAAAATACTACATAAAAACAACTATACTTCTGTCCCTCCTGAGGTGAAAATTATATCTGAAATTAATTACATAAAAGATATATTACAGTATAAACAAGTCATAGCATTCTATTATACAAGTATAGGTTACATCATAGAAGCCAAGTAGTATTGATTATATCGTTTTCATGGGGCGTGGAAATCGAGGGCGCGGAGCGCCCTCGATTTCCACGCCCCATGAAAACACTATAACCAATAGTATGAGGCATCTATGATGTAAGCAACTTGTCGCATGTCTGATGACGTAAATTTCATTGAGAGTGTCAAAATAAAAAAAAAATATTCAGTCATAAACTTAAAATTCATTTCAAGCTAGCTCTCCAACATGTCGGACGTTCTTAGTGAATTTGTCTTCGACTTTTTAACTGAGTTTGAAGATTTTGACAATTTATTTTTGAGGTTAGCACTCGACAAATGTGAAATCACAGAAGCAAATATCAAGGAGTTTAACATTATAAAGTTTGGAGATTTTTCCACAACTTTCAAAATTTCAAAATGGATTAATCTTTTGAACGACTGGGAAATTTCAACCGAGTTAAATACATGTGTTTTAATTTAGTTAAAGGCTAAGAAATAGCTTAACATCTTCATTTTTCTGTAGTTATGAACTTGTGAAATAAAATTAGTTTTTTTTTTCTCATGACCTGATTTCTGCCTCCTGCAGTGATATATGAAGGGGCGTGGAAAGTATTATCGCATATGTGATATGGGATATATCACCACACAAAGATCAAAGAAAATCACCGCAGATATGCAACAATAGGAAGTGTGACATCAAATCATTAAAAAATTACAGAAATTTTGTAAAAACGAAAATCCATTTCTTTAATCTAAAAGCTGCAGAAGTGTAGCTCTCTGAAAAAATATGCCACCCGTTGTAACCGTTGTAAAAGCTGTATATTTATTGTGTACAAAAAGTTGCGCTAAGTTCTGGTTTAATTCTTCCAAATTCTTACCTCAATCTCAAAAAAAAAGATTGTTTTCTAAAAAAATTCCTTACTCCTCTATCAAGTAATCAAGTGGAGAAATAAATCAAAAAACAGTGCATTTTCTGTGCACAATAAATACAGTTTTTTTTTTTCAATGGGTGGCACTGTAGCTCGCTCTCTGGTCTGACGTCAATATATTTTTTTTCAGAGAACTACAGATATGCAGTTATAAATCTAATTTATTTTTGTTCATATATATATTTGTCTCAAACTAACTAATATATTGCTTCAATCTTATGAATTTCTTTTAGCTGACATGAAAGTAGAAATGGCATGATTGAAATACCTGAGGATTTAGCTCCCAACATTTCAGCAACATTCTGGCGAGATTCTTCAATTATAGTCTTGGCTTCTATACCTTAAATATTTATTTATATACATTAACAAAAACACTCAATAAAAGCACAAATCATTTCATGTTCGTCATTATTTAAAATTTTTATTTTCACGGTCCCTGATAATTTATACACATTAAGGGAAATGCTCAATAAAATGCACACATCATTTCATTCATAATTTCAAGTCTTGATAATTTAATTCGTTAACCTTGAGTGTGGGAGCTACTAGGATTTCCCCAGGCCTTGGTCAGAGCTGATGCTATAGCATTTACAACTTCAGGTTCAAGAGGAGTCGTGGCATTGTTATCCAGATATAGGCTAAAGGAATAACCAGATAAAACGATACATATGTACGTATGATTAAAATCTGGCATGAATTATGATAATCAAATCCAAATCACTGCAATCCTTTGCTACCACGCGTTCAATGTAAAACTTTCAGATTAAACGTGGTGTAGCTATTCTTTGATACCGATATAATTCATCTACAAGCAATCTTTAAAAATCCATGCTTACCTTGCCATGCCGCTAGACCTACTTTCTCTTTCAACCGTCCATCACAATTTGTTTACATCCAAAACCTACTTGCCACTTATATCATATAAAAAACTATATATTTACTTCCTTATCAATCTTTTTTTTTCCTACATAGATCTTAAATATCAAATGATAAGTTCAATGCAGAATACCGATTTACAAATTCCCAATATCTGTTATAAAGTTGAGATCTTTAATGTTTTAAGTGGCTTCACAAAGTGAAAGTAGAAAGTTCAGAATGGTAGAATGGAAAGTTTTTTCGCTTTCGTAGAATTCGTTAAACTTATCATCAGGGTAATATTTTTGACTATCAGATCGTGTTTTATTGGGTTGTTCTCCACTAGGAAAAAAGACATTAGTGATGACATCGTGTTAATCACAGGGGGCGGGCGAGGGATAGGGAGGGCCCTCGCTCTGGAGTTTGCCAAATATACACCAAAGCATGTAAGTCGAGTTTTAATAGCATGACAGTTATTTTTCATGCGAAAATGATAAACGTTATATGTCCATTATGCAGTATTATGAAAGACTGTTTTATGAGAATAATTAGAACATTCATACTATAGATTATATTATGGGGGAGAACAGAGGAGACCCTGAAGAATACAGCTCTGGTAGTGAGAAACATGGGTGTGAAGTGTTTCTACATGGTGTGTGATGTCAGCCAGTCACAGGACATTTATAAAAATGTAAGATTGAATGCACTGATTTTGGAAGATAGCACAGAAAACTAAGGTACCTCAAGCACATAGCACAACAAAAGTATACTGGCAATGACTCAATTGTTCATCGTTGAAACCTTATTTTATCAGAATGTGAACATGAAGTTTTCCAAAAGATGCTTTTACATTCATTCATTTACATTTTCATTCAATGCAAAATTTCCCAGCCTAGAATATAATGATGTTATCCCTGGTTATTTTGGTAATCCTTAATTCTTCACTTTTTATGAGGAGAGGAACTCGAGATCTCTTTCTACTTTCCAAATGTTCCCTTTAATTCATTTTTTGGGGGGACAACCATGACCTTGTAACATGTATGATTGGAATTATAAGTTTTTTCTGTTACTTTATTGATACCTTTGTCTAATAGTATCGTTTTCATTATTTGTATAACAGTATGCTGACATAAAGAAAATGATCGGACCGGTAACAATTCTAGTGAACAATGCTGGTATAGTGCATGCCAAGCAGATCATAGACAACTCAGATGAGGATGTAAAGGAAACATTTGGTGTCAATACGCTGGCTCACTTTTGGGTAATTTTAATGTCTGAGTAAGACAGAGATTGATGTATGCATGTATTATCATTTTACAAACAGCGTGACAGTTTGCTTGATAGGGCATGCTAAAATTTTGTGTGCTGGTTATCATTTTACTCATCGATTGGATCAGTGAAATCAATACTAATTTGCATATGAAACTCGGAATACAACAATACCCCGATAATACTGGCCAATCACATTGAACGATTGTTTCTCAGTACGGCATTTGTAGTCAGCAGCAACACGTGGTCAGTCATAGCCCGTTTTCTGTCTTAAAAAAAAGCATACATGTATTATATTTGTTGTAATTTGACCGGATGGGATTTTAAATACGTGTAAGAAAATCTAAAGAATGGAATTAGTAAGGCTACAATGTAGTCTGCTTCTGTTGTACTATGTACGTAGCTCTATCAGTATCATCATTATTGGAAAAAAAAATTGCTTTGTCTGTTCACGTGTTGATGTTTATTCAATGCGATTGGTCAGTATTGTCAGTGGTATTGCTGGTTTCTGTGTTTCATATGCAAAGTATTATTGATTCCATTGAAATCAATCGTCCAATCGATAAGTAAAATGATAATCAGCATACAAAATTTTAGCACGCCCTAATCAAGCAAACTGTCATGCTGTTAGTAAAATGATAATAATAATCTTGAATATCTGTTCATTAAATGATTACATTACATTTTTTTTAATCAGTTTGTGAAATATAGAAACTGGAAACACTTTTTAGCTCACCTGAGCCGAAGGCTCAAGTGAGCTTTTCTGATCACATTTTGTCCGTCGTCCGTCCGTCTGTCTGTCCGTCTGTAAACTTTTCGCATTTTCGACTTCTTCTCAAGAACCACTGGGCCAATTTTGACCAAACTTGGTACAAAGCATCCTTGGGTGAAGGGGAATTTAAATTGTTAAAATTAAGGGACATATCCCCTTGCAAGGGGAGATAATCAAGAAAAGGCAAAAATAGGGTTGGGTCATTAAAAAATCTTCTTCTCAAGAACCACTGGGCCAGTAAAGCTGAATCTTATGTGGAAGCATCTTGGGGTAGTGTAGATTCTAAATTGTTCACATCATGACCCCTGGGGGAAGGGCGAGGCCACAATGGGGAATCAAAGTTTTACATAGAAATATATAGGAAAAATCTTTGAAAATCTTCTTCTCAAGAACCACTGGGCCAGAAAAGCTGAAACTTATGTGGAAGCATCCTGGTATAATGTAGATTCTAAATTGTTCAAATCATGACCCCCGGGGGAAGGGCGGGGCCACAATGGGGAATCAAAGTTTTAGATAGAAATATATAGGAAAAATCTTTGAAAATCTTCTTCTCAAGAACCACTAGGCCAGAAAAGCTGAAACTTATGTGGAAGCATCCTGGTATAAGGTGCTGTGTGTAGATTCTAAATTGTTCAAAAAAAATCATGACCCCCAAAATGTGCGGAACAAATTTTTAGTTATAAAGGGAAGTGGCGGGGCCACAAAGGGGAATCAAAGTTTTACAAGAACACAGATAAAAGAAATATGTAGGAAAAATCTTTGAAAATCTTCTTCTCAAGAACCACTGGGCCATGTATTTATTTTTATAAGTTATTCTTTTTTGCAAAGTGTGCTCAGAGAGAGACTCAAGGGGTTTAGCCCAACCCCCATTTTTTCCCAATATTACTTTTTCTTATGTGGTCAACCCCCCCCCACCCCCCCACACACAAGCATCCTGGTATAGTGTAGACTTTTCTAAATTGTTCAAATCATGACCCCCGGGGGAAAGGCGGGGCCACAATGGGGAATCAAAGTTTTAGATAGAAATATATAGGAAAAATCTTTGAAAATCTTCTTCTCAAGAACCACTGGGCCAGAAAAGCTGAAACTTATGTGGAAGCATCCTGGTATAATGTAGATTCTAAATTGTTCAAATCATGACCCCTGGGGGAAGGGCGGGGCCACAATGGGGAATCAAAGTTTTACATAGAAATATATAGAAAAAATCTTTGAAAATCTTCTTCTCAAGAACCACTGGGCCAGAAAAAGTGAAGCTTATGTGGAAGCATTCTGGGGTAGTGTAAATTCTAAATTGTAGGAATCATGACCCCAGGGGAAGGGCGGGGCCATTATAGGGAATCAAAGTTTCACATAGAAATATATAGGAAAAATCTTTGAAAATCTTCTTCTCAGGAACCACTGGGCCAAAAAAGCTGAAACATATGTGCCCATGGAAGGATCATGGGGTAGTGTAGATTTCAAAATGTCTAAATTATGATCAGTGGGGTAGGGTGGGGATGCATTATGTATAACAAGGGGGAAATCTGGTAAAGAACAGAATGGTCAACGCTTCTCAGGTGAGCGATGTGGCCCATGGGCCTCTTGTTCAAATCACTTTTGTTTCTAACAATTATTATGTGCCATATTTTCATAGAGGAGAAGAACTATTGTGCTACAAGATTACATGTACATATAGAATTCTTTTGTACAAATCATAATTTTGAAATAAAACCTCACTTACTTCCTTTAACTTATAAATGTTGTAGACAATAAAAGCAGTGCTTCCAGATATGATAGAATCCAATCGAGGGCACCTGGTCAGTATTAGTTCAGTTCTAGGCCTGCTGGGGATGAGGGGTGTGGGCGATTACTGTAGTTCAAAGTTCGCCAACACCGGGTTCATGGAGGCCTTGCAGTGGGAGATACAGGAGTATGACAATATCTACATTACCTCGGTGCATCCGTACCTTGTGGATAACCAAATGTTTGCTGGATTGAAACTAAGGTGAAATCTAAGACTAATCAATGCTTGGGAGATGCTATTTCATTTCTAAATACCCGGGTAGAGAAAAATCTAAAATTACTCAATATTAACTATTTAGGGTTGTCCCCGTCTGATTAAAATCAAACCTTCACTAGCTCCTTTTTGAAGTGTGACAATCAAAATAAAAAGGAGCTAGTGAAGGTTTGATTTTAATCAGACTGGGTTGTCCCTAAGAATTGAAATAGAAGGGGACATTTAAAAGTAGTAGGGGATCTGGGGTTCCTCTTTTAATGAGGAGTTAGGAGGAATACCAAATAAAGGGCAAATTACATTTATATAGGTGGTAAAATTCCCTAAAGCCCCCAGGTCTTAAGGACAACCCTGCTATTCACCTCCAACTGAATAAAACTTTTAAATTAAGTAACGGACCGGTACAATATGTCGTTCATTCTAAAACATTTATAATGTACACAGCACAACCACAATAACATTAAACAGAAATGTACATTTTCCATTTAGCCTTGAACATTATGATTACACATATCTAAATTATTTGATCAATCCATTATTTTTCCTTCAGATTTCCCTGGCTTGTTCCTCCTCTGAATGAGAGTTATGTAGCTAGTCAAACCGTCTCTGCTGTCTTATACAACCAAAAATGTGTGGTTATGCCAAGAATTATGCTTATTGTTCTTTGGACAAAGAGGTAAGGCAGCACCATGTTCCCGTCCTCTACCTGTGGATGTCATGTTTACATTTGTTGACCTAATTAATTAATTTTTTGTTTGGTCCATTTTGCACCTGTGAAAGTCAAGTTTTTTAATTTGTTGACCTTAGTAACTAACTTTCTATTTGTTTCAGTTCCCCCTATGGATGTTACATTTCATTTGTTGACCTAATTATCTTACTTTCTGTTTGCTCCATGATGTTACATTTCAATGTTGACCTAATTAACATACTTTCTGTTTGTTCCAGTCTCCTACCTATTGATGCCATGTTGCCAATTTTAAAGTTTACTGGAGTTGATAAAGCAATGATTGATTCTCCTACAGCACCAAAGAATGTGGAATTCATGAGAAAGACTGTCTCCAATCAGTAGAGATGGGGGGAGGCATCTTCCTGAGTTAAATGTCTCTTGTCCTTATGTATTGTATGTTAAAGGTATCTTTTGGGTGTTATTGATATCTCCTTCCACTAAAAAGTGTGTTCATGTATAGACACTATGTTCTATGAACTTTTTAAACCTAGATATGGAATGATTTAGACAAAGCAGCTTTAACAAGAAATGTCTGAAATTACAAAATGTAGCAATATTACCCCCTCTTTTACCTCCTTTTCTACTGGAGTTCCCCTTCAAATTATACCTTATTTGCACATGTGATCAACTGCTTCCAGATACAGTACTTATAATATGTTATACATGTATTTGTGTATTTTTTTTCAATAAAAATGGAACTTTACTCCCCTTGTCATTGGTCATTTGCTAAATTATTTTGTTAAAAAACATTCTGATTGTACACACAAGTACTCTGAAGTTGACTAAAAAAAGATTTGAATTTCTGATTGACAATATCATGTTGTTTTTTGGAGACCAAGTCTTCCAACAATCAATTGGAATTCCCATGGGTACCAATGGTGCCCGATTATTAGCAGACCTTTTTTTATATTTATATGAAGCAGAATTTGTCCAAAATCTTATATGTGAAAAAAGGAAAACACTTGCTGTGGCTTTCAACTCGACATTTAGATATATTGATGAATTATTGTCAATTGATTTCCTTTCTTATGTCGATATGATGTATCCCGATGAGCTTGAGATAAAAGATACCACAGAATCTGACACATCTGTTTCATATTTGGATATTTTACTTGAAAAAGACGTTAATGGTAATCAAACAACCAAATTCTATGATAAATGTTATGACTTTAACTTTACAATTGTCAACTTCCCTTACTGATGCAGCAATATACCTTGATCACCTGCATCGGAGTTTATATATCTCTATTAATTCGATACACAAGAGCATGAACAATTTCTAAAACGAGGTATATTATTGACCAACAAGTTGATGAAGAAAGATTATCAGCAGTCTTGTTTAAAGTCATCATTTCATAAGTTCTATGGTCGATACAATGGCCTTGTCAGCAAATACATGTAAAATTTATCACTGTGTCAAATGCTGACTCGTTTTTCACACTAATTGTTAGTCCATTATTCATACACTGAATTGACGACGATATTTCCCTTTTTCCCTATCTTGACAAGGAGTACACGGCGGGTGTGACTGGTCTGCAGGGGATGCTCACTTCTCCATGGCACCTGATCCCACCTCTTATGTTTTGGAGGTCCGTGTTTGCTCTGCTCCTATTTTGTATTGTTTTATGGACTTTTGATCTTGAATACCGTTCGTTATGATCACCATATGTATCATTGTCATCAAACATCGACGCAAACCATGGCCAAAATGTGCAATCCTTTCCAGTTCTTGAAGAGAGCTACATGCAGGCTACAGACCATGCCATGAGACGATATAGTTATCAAAGTATATATTATTATAACGGAATTTGTACCAGTAGTTTAAATATTTATTTTCTTTATTCCTTTGCCATGAAGACACAACAAATCCTACAATCTTTATTCCTTCGCCATGAAGTCACAGCAAATTCTACAGCCATTATTCCTTCGCCATGAACACACAAAAAATTCCTACAGCAAAACAACAAGAGAACAGGATTGCAGTGATTCCCATTATGATATAAAACGCAGCGATGGACCAGAATGTGAAGTAGTAGGCCGTGTGATGACAGTATTCTACGGAGGTGGAGTTACTGCTGATGACGTCATAGGTACCGTACACCAACACGTTCCCGAAAAATAAACAAGAGATGTTTGTAATTTTAACAATTATGCCCCCCTCCCCCATATTGGAATTTTTGTAAGTCCAAAAGGGCATAACTATGTCAAAAATGGCGCGATTGTACCCAAAACAGAACTTGACCAAGATATTTATCTGATAAAATAATCTGTATATCAAATTTCATCTCGGTATGTGCAACCTCTGCAAAGAAAATGAACGGAAACTGCAAATAATTGGAATTTTTCTAAGTCCAAGGGACATAACTTTGTCAAAAATGGTGCAATCGTACCCAATACAGAGCTTGGCCTAGATATACCTCTGATAAATCTGTACGCTAAATTCAGTATGTGCAACGGTTGCAAAGAATATTAACGGAAACTGCAAACAATTGAAATTTTTCTAAGTGCAAGGAACATAACTCTGTCAAAAATGGCGCGATTGTACCCAAAAACAGAACTTGACCTAGATATTCATGTAATATATCTGTATACCAAATTTCATTTCAGTATGTGCAACGGTTGCAAAGGAAATGAACGGAAACTGCAAATAATTGAAATTATTCTAAGTCCTAGGGCCATAACTCTGTCAAAAATGGTGCGATCGTACCCAAAACAGAACTTGGCCTAGATATTCATGAGATATTATACACTTATCTAATGGTTGTGAGTGGGATAGCTCTTTTATCAAACCCGCGACAGGGAACTATTCCCCGAGGGGAATAGTTCCTGTCAAGGGTTTGATAAAAGAGCTATCCCACTCACAACCATTGGATAAATGTTTTATTATACTGATGTATAATACAGTTTTTGAGGTTTTACTTTTTTTTTGAGTAAGATAATACTACAAGAATAATCTGATGACGCCACAATGCTACTGAAGTCATTATGACATCATCAGTCAATAGATTTATCGCTGGAAATCAAAATTGGTGGCAAAAATTGCATGAAAATTTTCCGATTATCAAACCCGTGACAGGGAACTATTCCCCGAGGGCTTGCCCGAGGGGAATAGTTTCTGTCGAGGGTTTGATAAAAGAGCTATCCCACTCACAACCAGTGGATAAGCGTTTTATTATACTGATGTATAATATAATTTCTAAGGTTTGAATTTTGTGGAGTAAGATAAAACTGCAAGAACAATCTGAAATCCTGATGACGTCACAATGCTAGTGAAGTCATTATGACATCATCAGTCAATAGATTTATCGCTAGAAATCAAAATTGGAGGCAAAAATTGCATGAAAATTTTCCGAGGGTGGATAGCAAAAACTATACCCCGGGGTATAGCTTTGCTATGCGTGAACTATAAAAGATAGTTATTTTACCTTCTTAACTTTATATAGGAAACATTTTAACAGAAGTATAATAAAAACTATACCCCGGGGTATAGCTTTGCTATGCGTGGACTATCAAAGATAGCTATTTTACCTTCTTAACTTTATATAGGAAACATTTTAACAGAAGTATAATAATAATTGATATTTTTGGCAATAATAGCTATTATTTTTATTCTTCTACTACGTTCGTGTATATTATTGTAAAATTGTAAATCTTTGTAAATATTGTATGGCTTTTGATATATTATGTATGGGAGAGGACTATCTAAGTTTTAAGAACTTGTGTCCAATTCCTTTGACATGTTGTCAATAAAATATGTTCAAAAAACTTTTCACAAATAAACACACTGAACTGATATAAGAAAAAAAATATTTTATTACTATTTTTAAAAAAATAATGTTATTTAAACTATCCTACAGAATATTCAATAATGCTGATCTTGATAATCGTAATTGTAGAAAATTGAAGAAAGCATTTACATGAATATTATTACAGTAAATTTGGTACAAGAAATGAAATACAGCATACAAAAGTACCATGTTTATTTAAGATGTACATGGAGATTATCCGCCGATAAAAATACTGTATTCAAAGCTTAAGATAGAAACACTAGTTATTGATTATAAATAATTCATATCATTCTTTAATACAGATAGGTAAAATAATATTAATGTTATAAAATAAAAACAAAACTAAGATGTATATCAATGAAATGTGTACACAATTTTGTTCTTACATTTTACCCGAATAAATTCGCACAAAGATCGAGGACTCTAAAGGAAAGCTACATGATGATTTATTAAGCAATGCATGTAATGAAGACCATACAAATGGTTAATAAATTATATTAAAAAAGTAACATTTTAAGTGAGGTATCTGATATCCTAAAGAATTTCCGCTCATCATAGTTAGTATATAGTTATAAGTTCTAAAAAATCATGTTTTTAATTATTACATTCTTATTATAAAAAAAAAATGGAATTTAATAATTCATGTAAATAAATTGTTTTGACAATGATCTTTCATCCTCAAATGTACACTCTAGTCTAAATATGTTCAACAATAAATAGTATAACCAACCATCTTCATGAGAATAAGAGTCTTTTTTCCTAAACATTTTAATAAAAATATTTACAAGTTGGTGCTTATGAATCTGACTTTTTGGCACAAAAGCAACACGCTATGCAACAGCAACACGAGACCAGAATGGCGACTCCAACCATGATATAAGCCACCGTAATTGTCCAAAATGCAAAGTAGTAGGGCGTAGCGTGACAATAATTGGTTAGAGCAGAGTTTGTAGTCTGTACTACATCGTATTTACTGTAAACCCAAACGTTTCCTGTAAAAAAAAAATTAAATCTGACCAGTCAGTGCAATGGAAAGAAGACAAAAATTTATGTAATAAAAACAAATTGTAGACTTCTGTAAGTTTCAAGGAAGAAATTAAAAGTAGGGCAAGAAAAATGCCTACCCGTTGGCAAATAAAAAAGTGAAAAATGGAAAGTTAATTATAGCAATACATTTTTTAAAAATATTTTAGTACACAATAAAAAATTACATAATGTATAATCACCAAAGGATATGGACGAACAAGGCGAGCAAAATGCAAAATTGTATATAAATGTATGTCATATTCAATTTTTGAATTCGTATATAGGGTAACGTCCTTATCATGTTAAAAGGTATGATGAAATAAAATTTTCTTCGTAAAAATTTCTTCTCTTTTTTTTTAAACCTCTGTGATAAAATACATTAACAGGTTAATCACTACCCATACCATTTTTTATAAATATTGACATTTAATCATGTTTGTCAAATGACCTTTGACTTAGGAATGTCAGTATATTTTTAAAGGTTTTATTGGTCTTTTTTCTCCATGTTTGTAGAAGAATGTACATTTTAGTCATACTTTGAGTAATCTTTTAAAAATTGGAACAAATGAACTGGTCAAGTTGCTCCTTTTTGGTCAACCATCCCAATTTTTCAGACGAGCGAGCTACAGATCTGCAGCTACGATTCATATGGAAGTTTTTGTTTTACGATGAAGAATTGATCTCTTTGCCTTCTTTGGAGTATGTATTAATATTATTCCAAAAGGAAATGATTTCAGTTTTTGTGAGATTGGTGCAATTTGTGGAGCTTTTACAGAAAGTAAACGAAAAATTAAATAAAGTTTTGTCATAATTGCAATTAATATTTTACTTCCTTAATTGTCAAAATAGGCATTTTGTTCACCTTGTTTGCCCATCTCCTTTGCAACAATCTCACATTTGTAAAATTGATTCCTCTATACATGAAATAGCACGCACATACCACAGAAGGCAAATACGATTATTGTTTTATACTATGACTACATTTTTCTATACAAAAGAGTCTTCGCTACATTTGTTCATAAATTGATCTTTATGAATTTGAAGCTGTAGGAATTCAGAACTTGTTCGTTCTGTCTCAAGATTGCTTACCAGCAATAAACCAGGCAAACATAAAGCATCCGCAAAGAGAGTTAATACAGGACCCTAATTTGGCCCCCGCTCCTTGCTCTTCTTGTTCATCATCCGGGCTCCTCTTGCAACAAATAGACTGAATCATTCCAAATAGATTTTGGCAGAGACCAACTGCGCCGGCAACAACCAGATAAATGGGAATGTACTTCTGTATAGGGCAATCATCCAGGTACAAAGCACCTGTCAATAAAAAAAGAAGTCATTTTTTTTTAAATTACTATTATCATTTGAAAAACAAGATGTGTTTGTGAAACACTATGTCCCCGATGGTAACACAATTCTGGAGTTGGATGTAGACTGAAGTGGTATACAATTGTAAGATGTTTTAAGGGTAGAAGAATTTTTGTTTTAAAATAATATTGTGTTAATATGGGTAATTACATGTACACTGTGAAACACAGTACAATAGTTATGGCCAATGTCAAAGTTTTTCAAATGTATGTCAAAGGACACAATTGAGATCACATGATCAAAAATTTCTGTACCAATGGAAAGGTCTTTTCATAATAAACATTCATATCAAATATTAAAATTTTACGCTTTAAAGCGCACTAGTTATGGGCAAGGTTAAGTTGACATCAAATATGCAGGCAGACAGACAGGGCAAAAACAAAATACCCCCGGGATCTTTCGATCCAGGGGCATAATAAAAAAACACAAAAAAAAACACAGTGTAATTTTAACTGCAGTGGGCGTTCATTGCTAATTTTCGCACTGATCAGTTGAAATTCTTTTACTTAGACCGGAGTGGATACTGGAATAGGAATGTTAAGGCACACAGAGCTAGCCTGTAATTGTTATGAAAAACTTTTAATGCACGTATTTTGGGGAAAAGATTTAGATGTATTCTTAGATATCTTCATGTATGTAGTATTTTGATTTTTGCACTGAACGACTTCATGATTTTAATCTTCTAAAGATCAGAAAGACATTGGTCAAATTAATTTCAAACACCAACGTAAAACAACAATTTCAGTTTGTTAAAATTATTACAGAGATTAAGTAAAGCATAATACATGTATCTTTTTTAAGCCTTTTAGAATCGGTTTAATTAAACTACATAGAGGAACAACAGCCGGAACCCAACCGAACACCCAGCAATTGTAGGTCACGACCTAGAATTCCTCAGGTGCCCTGTGTCTGCACACATCAACTGTAAAGTTATTGACTTTATTAAGTGGTGTAGATTGATTTTTCTTTCTATAAACACCAAACCATCACAGTTCTGTGTCTAATTTAACGCCGGAAACCAAGTAACCGATTGACCACATAACAGTCCATACTTACATGGAATTAAGTAATGACAGGGAACGGTCAGTACAATGTAAGTGTATACATAAGAACTTAAATATACTTACCGATGACGATACTTGCTATGGGGATAGCCATCGTAACCCCCAGGCACACCGTACAGCCCACTGAAACATGTAACCACAACATTAGACTATGTACGCAATTTTACTCAATTTTAACGATGGTATTTTACTATGCAAAAAATCTTTTATAAAACTTACTCTCAAAATGTGTCTCAGATGTGTCATATTTAATACGATAGTAAAAGTAAGTAAAATCATTAAAGTGTGATTAACATTTATCAAGTAGTTTTTAAATTTTGGATACAGAAAGTATCAGGGAATGTGTAAAATTTACACATGAAAAAAAATTACAAAAATAAATACCGGTAAATTTTTTTAAAAAATGAAAAGTTTATCCATTAAAAAAAAAGGAATGACACGTTTCATTTGAAAAATATTTCGTATCAAATGAAACTAAATTTTTTCACCCTTTTATTTTAAAAAGGTATCCCTTGACTTGTTTTCTACAAATACATTTATCATAATATCCTAAAATGTCTGAAATATAATCGATGTACTTTTTGTTCTTTCGATTTCTTTGTAGAACTTTGTATATCTAGTTCATATGACACTTCTCTATTAGTATTTCACCTGCATGACAACTCTATTGTTATTATCAATTTCAGTTAAGTGTGCAGTTTTGCATTACGTCACAACCTATGATGACAGCTGCTCGTGCAATAGACTATTTCTGTGTCAATTTGATAATATGAGTCGACCAATCACACAGCGGGGGCGTGAATTGTTTACGCTTGATGCATCAGTCGAAAAAGATCGTGACATAATGCAAAACAACACACTAAACTGAAATTACTAATATTTATTAGCTCACGTGACACCTCTATTTTTAGTTCAAATGACATCTGTCTATTTTTAGCTCATCCGACACCTCTATTTTTTAGCTCACCTGACGCACATAATATCCCTGCTGCAGCCTTGGCAAAGCCCACATTGCCATCTGAGGTTTCCTTAGCATGTTTGATTTTCCCAAAAATAGAGTCATATGAAGGGGGCTCTTCTGCAGATAAAAAAAAACAATATGCATGTTAATTCAATCCATCAATGAAAAGGTAATTTTGTCTTAAACAAGGACTTTATAACACGTAATTCTAATTATATACTTTTATCGTAGTTTTAAAATATATTTGATAATATGAGGATATACGACTGACGTTAAAATGAGATTTTCTAAATCTAGATCTACCACTAAGATTTTCTAATATGATTTTTTTCTTTCATTTTTATATTAGCTATTTTATCATGGATTAAATGAGAGCACACTGTATTAATTAAAGCGAGTTATCAAAATACCCAATCTTTTGTGATAGTTTTAGGTACATGTACTTCATTTTTTTTCCTCGAACGCCACACTTTATAACATACAAATCAAACACTTAACGTTTATGTCCATACTATAAATGGTCTCTGTGTCAATATTTTTAAAGAGCAAGTCATATTTTTGTGCTCTCTATAGAACTTTAAATTTTTTAATAATCCATAGAGCCAACACATAAATACTAAAACACGGGCCGAAGGACATTGACGGTTTCTGAAAAGATTCTATACTGGGAAAATGACCCTTAATTGAAAGTGTAATAGTTAATGTCAGGTAGCTCACCATTGACATATTTTTTGCAAAGCAGTAACAAAAATTTCTGTGTCTCAATTTCAGTCAAACTTTAAATGACATCGCCATTTCATAAAAGATCTAAAGACTGATCCTAAATCTAGAATAGTTCTTTAACGAGGCCCGATCTAGTTGAAAATTACGAAAACGGAATGATAAAAAAATTTAATTCTTGGAAATATACTTGTACGTTTTATGCTTAGAAAAATTAGAATGAAATTTTGTTACCTTGCCTTTATTGTAGTGAAATGGGGGCACTGTCAAAATATGGACCATTTCTCGTGTTTTTATACACAGTTACATACTAAAATTCTTCAATAAACGAAGAAATTTACAAATAAAAAAATACATGATGAAATTCTTTGTTTTTCACATATATCATGCAATTTTCATTCTTCTTATAAAAATGAAAAGAAAATTGGAGGTAGCCTTTATTGCAGTGAAAAGGGGGCATGTCAAAACACAAAATTTGGATTTATTCTATCCAACTACGTATTTTATAGGTCGCAATGGGTTTACATAACGCCAACAAACGATTGCAATACTGTATTAGTTTCTAAAAAATAAATAATTCTTAGATTATGAAATAATTTTCTCGCCATGCTTTATTTTTCTCTTAACACGCGACGTTGTTTTACGTGGAAAAAAAGGGTGGAGGGGGGGGGGGGTAAGGCGACAAAATTGCTATTTTTACTAATATCATGTAATATATAGAAAAATAAAATATTTCGGGGGTTCAATATAAATGATATATAGACTTATTTTATTTTTTTAAAACTGAAGATAATCCATGCAAATTTAAGTCTGCAATAAAAAGAGTGTGTATAAACACTTCAACATGTTCAAAGAGAAAGACTAAAATCGTTTACTTTTAGTTGCAGTGTTTGCTTTTTTTAAACTCACAAATTGAAATAAAACAGGATAAAATTAATGAATATGTACCAAACAATTAATCCCTCAAAATTGAGTAGGTTCCAAAGTTGTTTATTAATTTAAATATTTCAAAAAAAAAAAAAAATAGACATGCCAGCTTTCAATGCATAGTCTATAGAGCTACCAGCTAGGTAAGCAAGATCAGCAAAACATTTTAGCGCAATTTGACGTCATTTTAACTGTGACGTTATTGTGTTCAATTGTGACGTGCCTGAGTCGACGCTGCGTTAAAACGTATGCGCAAATCAAGTAGATCGGGCCTCGTTAAATGTAAAAGTTACAACTAATAGAAAAAGTTCACTAACTTTAAATTAAACTCGTAAGGTGGGAGTTACTACGGTGTGCTCAAAGTTGATTTTTATCTCAGACGGTCTCACAGTATTCACATTTTAAGGCTATATATAATTTCTTTGCACATTCCTATAAACTACTTGCAAATGACTGCATGCGTCTAAATTGTCTTTACTTCCATTTTCTATACATAAGACATTTATTACTTTTGCAAAAGGCATTATCGTTTTATGCGAGTAACCACATACTTTATATTTATTATCTTTTTCTGCCCTTGTTATTTCTCATACATACTTGATCATATTTTGATTGACTCGTTACAAACCAATTGTAAGGTCTTTGTGTACTACTTTAGTAAAAGTTACGATGATCAGTACACAGGTCTCACGGCGGGTGTGACTGATCAACAGGGGAAGCTCACTCCCCCCAGACACCTGATCCCACCCCTGACGTTTCCAGAGATTCATCTTTATTCCCTGTTCCCGTATTTGTATTTTGAAGGTTTTTTTTTAGATCAATCAACCATTCGTTATCTTCACCTTTTTATCTGGTATTCGTTAATGATGCGCGAACATCATCAATCAAATAACAGTTAAAAAAAAATAAAATAGCTTTCAAAATAGAATGTGACAATGGAAGGCAAGATTCACGTGATAAGAGTCAAATGAATGTATACAGATTTCCTTTGCATGTACACGTGTGACATGACTCCGTGAATAAGTGCAAAAACAATCATTAACTTTCTTTTTTTTCTTGCATTGATCTGTCAGAAATAAAGAAATTCAGTACAAGTAGATAATCTCTAAGTCAAGCTCTGTGTTTGCCAGCTGCAGAACTAAAAACAAACTTACCTGTTGAATTTTTTTCCTTTTCTAAATAAAATTAAATACTCTAGTACAAGTAGAATATATAGAATGTTAAAAGTAGAAGCCGGACTTTCTCTCTCTCTCTCTCTCTCTCAAACCATTACACATATTATTCCATTACAAAAAATGTAAGTACATTTGTAATCTTAATGTAGATACGATTAGGAACCTTCTAATTACTTTTTTTTCAAAAGGGACCCATAAATTAAGAAAAAAAGTAAGATTTTTAAGAGAAAAAACTTACCCCCTGTATACGTAGGTGCACTTTCGAGCTTGGCATCTTTCTCGGACATGTTTCAGATTTTATTCTCAAGACGAAATCCACAAACAGAAATACAGATATCAACTAATTATTGTCAGTTGATTTTGAACTTTTTATATCACACGGTATCCAGGTTTTGTGCCAAATGACTGTGATTTCAAAATTCCGAGAACACCTTTATTATTATTGGGTCGTCGCGGGTGAACGATTAATACTAGAATGGCCAATACATCGTGTGTGCGCACCTTTTTTTTTCGCTCTCGATCTTAAACTCCCGTTCAGATGCTCTGGAATTTAAACCATACAATATCGACCAAATTAGTAATTACACCTACCCAGTGTGCTCTATTTATTGAACGGGGTTTTTATAGTCTAATTTTAGCATATCACTACATCTCCATAGAATAAAGTTTAATCCATCAAATCTAAATATATGGTGCAAACAGTTACATCCCTTCACATCCCTACATATATTCGTCTTGTGGACAATGACCTAGATAGAAATCAGGTCAAGAAAGGAAATTATTCTTACTTGACAAATGGTGTATGTGTTTAAAAGTTACGTACGTCACTTCTGTTTAAGAACTTTAAAAGCAAAATTTTGTTAAACTTTTATACAAATATAGCAAAATCTTTGTCTGCTAACTTTGAAAAGCTGGTCTAATTGAATGAAATAAGATGATCAATTTCTAGTAAGTTCCAGCTTATACAAAATAGGACAAAAACGCATTCTTATTGAATTAGACTTCTATATATTTTCACTCTTCTCACAGGTACTTGTGGACAGGACACCCCCCACCCCCCATATACACCCCTGATCAAAATATTTTTTTTCTCTTTTTTCTCATGAATTATGTTTCTATTAAAATATTTACAAAGTATTCCATATGAAAAATCCAAAAATAACATAGATTTAACGGTTTAATAAAAAAGTCATACCCCTGGTTTTATAAAATGGAGCTCTATTTTATAATACCAGGGGTATGACTTTTTTAGTACCAATCTTCAAATGAATTATAGATACGTATAATTCAATAAGACCTATCTTTAGTTGAATTGAAGAAAGGTGTAATTCCATTAAAGATAGGTATAATTCATTTGTACATAGGTATAATTATTTAGAGAAACGTAAAGTTATTAACACCTATCTTCATTTCAAGTGTACCTATCTTTAATTCAGTTGTACCTATCTTCAAATGAACATAGGTGCAAATATTTGAAGATAGGGACAAATATTTGAATATATGTTAATTTGGCGTTCCATAGATTTCAACAATTCGAATAGATGATATCACCTTATTATTTTGAATAGGTGATATCACTTATTTGAATATGTGATATCACTCATTCAAATTATTCATGAAATAACAACGACGGCTTCCAAGGCTATAGGATTTTAAATCTCATTTACTTTCACTTTCGTTTTATAACTCATCGTTCTCTGAGACAATGGACGACAGTTTGCATTTAGTTTTAAGCACCCCAGTAGAACAATTTTTTACACTTATCTATCATGTAAACTATAAGAAAAATGAAAAATCGTGAAAATGCATGATAAATGTTCTATAGAGATATTCCCACCTTCCCCTTTAACATTATAAAGAGTGAAAGGTATGTCTCTGTTGTACCTCAGCCGGATTAAATTTATAAAATTTATTTCACTTTACTTGGATCCATGCATAACATAAGGTATTTAAAAAGTCTTGGACTAAGTACAGGTGAAAACTATTAGTCCGAGTTTTCTTTGTTTCCATGGGAAGTCTGGATAGTCTAGGGAGTACTAGTATTCATTATCAATTGAAGAAATACAAATAGGTGATATCACCTATTCATTTCCAATAGGTGATATTAATTATTCGAAAAGGAGATATCACTTATTCGAATAGGTGATATCACTTTTGGCAGTAAATACCAAAACGGAGCCTCAAACAATATACCATTGTCATCTGCTTACGGAGTTTAACTTTCTTAGTTATTTCTATGCGCTAAAGCATCTCAACGTATGAACAATTTCTAAAACTATATAAGTAATTGACAAACAAAAAGTTAATGAAACAAACAGCAGTTTCGTTCAAAGTAAATAATTTGTAAGTTCCATGAATTGATCGATAAAATGTCCTTGTCAGCAAATACAATCGATCATAAAGTAAAATGTTGACCTGTGTTTTTCAAATTAATTGCAATAGTTATGCCATTTTTTACGAATTGAATTGTTTACGGATTTTCCCGTTATTTCCCGATCATGAAAAGGAGCACAAGCGGGTATGACCGGTTGGCAGGAGATGCTCACTCCTCCATGGCATCTGATCCCACCTCTGATATTTTAGAGGTGATTGTTTGCTCTGCTCCTGATTTTATTGCTTAATGGAATTTTAAGCTTGAAAACTGCTCGTTATCTCCATATATTTCATAATCTTCAATGATCACACAAGCTAAGAATACATGGGGATCAAAAACGACTTTTTCTTGCAAAATCCTGGTTCCCTGAATTTCTTATTACATTTTAGCAGTAACCCAGACTAAAAACTTTTAAAGAGAATTGTTGGAAATTTGTATTAAGAAAATAATAAAATGATTTACATTTCATTTCCCATTTAAGCTTTGATAGTTAAAAAATCACATTTTTATTTGATTTTCAACATTTCTATACGTATCACAGTAATTCTGCTTTTCATGGATGTTTTAATCTTGCAGGCAAATGTATGAACAATAATGCTTGTCACAAATAAATAGCTTACCATATCTATATCTTGTGTATACATGTATTTATATCTTTAATTATGCTTTCAGCTCACCCGAGCCGAAGGCTCTTGTTGAAAGGTAGCTTTTCCGATCAAAATGTGTCCGTTGTCTGTTGTCGTCGTCGTCGGCGCCGTTGTCGTTGTAAACTTTTCACAATTTCTTCGTCTTCTCAAGAACCAATGGGCCAATTTCAACCAAACTTGCCACAAAATATCCTTTGTACAAATCATACAGGGAAAATTGTTAAAATTCTTTAAAAGTACAGGAAAGTCATGATTGATCATCAGAATAAAAGTATCAAAAAGGTAATGTGGATTTAAATTTGTTCAAATCACGACCAACTATGAGAATGGAGGAGCCATTTAAATGGGTCATAGTTATACAAAGGAATATAAAGGTTATGTCAATAAAATTTTCATCTTATTAACAGCAAAGCTATTATGTATCATAAGAATTAAAAAGCATCCGTAGGAAGTATAATTTTTTAAAAGTTTGTTCAACCTCCCCCCCCCCCCCGTCTCCCCTGAACCCACTTTTATATTCAAGTTTTTCAAAACTTAACTGATTTTTGCTTTTATCTAGCCAATTGCTCAAGTGAGCGATGTGGACTCTGGGCCTCATGTTTACAAAGCAGGCGACTGGCGTTATTTGGAACACTATAGTTTTACATTTGAGCTTGGTTCTCTGACAAATCTGAAAATATTTTTCATCTTTTTACCAGTCCCAAATCCTTAATAGGGTTTTTCCCTGTTCTTTAT